TCAGGCGCACATACCGAGGGACCAACGCCAGTACCTGGGAAACTGGTTCAAGGAGTCCACGGCGGACGTCTACACCCGAGAGAAGCGACACGTGGTGTGCTCCATCTGGGACCAGGTTCTCCAGAAGCTCCCGTCCATGCAACTCGAGGCAGGAAGGGCGGTCCGAGTCGACCTCGGACATGAGGACTGGGAGGACAAGGTGGAGTGCCCTGCCTCACCGAAGGCCTTGTTCAAGGAAGTCCCGGACACACCGCCCTCAAATGCCAGCTGGGATGTGATCCCCGCCGACAAGCCGGCCATCACCAAGGTGGCTGCAGATGAGGTGCCCCCGCCTCGGGGTCCACTGACGGTGATTGCCACCACGGCCCGAAAGGGTCCCACCAAAGCCTACAGCATGCACCTACTGGACACGGATGGAGTCACAGTGGGGTGCGGCTGGAGGCCGGGGCCGCTCAAGATTTCGGAGCTGGCAGAGCAGGATTTCCATGCTGAGCCGGAGATGTACCTGGGATGCACCAGATGTTTCCGGCATTTCACCTTCCCGAACACGTGGATGGCCGTGGAGCCCTATGCAGCACAGGACTCCGAGGCCTCCATCTCCCTCTCCTCGGACACCGACGAGAGCGTGGACACTCAGTCGGACAAGGAGGCGATCGTCCTCCCGGAAATTGAGTGAGGGGTGGATAGAGCAGGTGCCGAGGGCCCTGACAGGGGGGGGACAGGCCAGGTGGCGGCCATCCTCGAACAAGGATGGGGACGGCAGAACCAGCGTGCACAACACCCTCGCTGGGGTCAGAACAACCACACAGCTGGCACAACGGCGGCGCCTCAGCCCCGAGCCACGGGTGCCGAGGGCCCTGAAACGGCAGGGACGGGACGGTTCCCTGGGTGCCAAGGGCCCTGACACGGGGGGCCGCGCCCAGCAGGCCCGATTGCCGGATAACTGGCAGCACACCGCAACGCCAAGGAACACGCCCAGGAGGCAGCCGATCCCACTTCCGGCGCCCAACATCATCAAGCAGGACCCGGTGGTTTTTTATAAGAGCTCGGTTGGGCTGAATGAAGGGGGCCAGCGCCTTTCAGCTACCCCCCTGACAAGTCCCACGGAGCCGTCACCGGGATGGGACATCTTCCCGTGGATGGAGAACATCCCGGAGCGTTTGGTACAGCGGCTGAGATGGACACAGGGCACATCGCCCAAAGTTCCATCCAGTGGGCCCATTATTGTCCTGCTCTATGCAGGCAAGGAAGACCCAACTTCCTTGGACAGCTGTCTTCATGCCAACTACCCACACCTTTCCAGCATGGTGGTGGCGGTAGACATCCTACGATCGGGACCAAAAGGGAACCACGACATGCTCCAACCCGAGCTGTATGGAGCTCTGCACGGCAGCAAAGCAGGGCCGAGTGGTCTTCATTGGAGGAGGACCCAACTGCAGGACATGGTCCATCCTGCGCCACATACCAAAACCGGGGGCCCCCACCCCGGTGCGAGGGCGCACTCGAGAGACACTTTGGGGCCTCCCACACCTGGACCAGGCCGCCCAGACTCAGCTTGATGATGACAGTATCCTCATTTTGAGGCAGATGTACATCACCAGCCTGGCAAGGGCCTCAAGAGCGGCGGTTTCTCTGCCAGGGCCAAAGTCCTTCTTGGAGCACCCGGAGGACCCAGTGGTGAGCAGCTCGCTGCCCAAAGCCAAGGAATGCTCATCCTTCTGGATCACGGAGGAGGGGCAGCTTTGGATGGAGGAAAACTCCTTGACAGCAATCTCCTTCGACCAGTGCCGCCTGGGCCAGCTGGTCAAGAAGGCCACTACGCTAGCCACGGATCTCCCAATTCAGGATTGGGATCAAATGCGGTGCACGCATCAGTCACATGTGGGCACCAACGAGTCCTCGACTCTTAGCAGATACCCTTGGGATATGATGGCAGGCCTGGCCAAAGCCATCGCTGTGTCACTCGCAGCGCCGGGGCACATCCGGATCCCCTCACAATTCCCGGGAAACCCTAAGGAACCACCTAAGGGGCGGGGGTCGGACCCCCCGGAGGGCCCTTCCCCCCGGGGAAAACGGGGACCCAATCAGGGAGGCGGTCCCTCCTCATCACACCAGGGCCCAAAGCCCGGAGGCAAGAATGCCCCGAAGCCCCGCCAGCACGGGCACATCCACCTTGAGGCAGACACCGTAAGCCCTCGTGGAACAATGAACCCAGACTTCCCATCTCCCATGCCCCCGATGGCCGGAGATGCGGAACAACTGGGGAAGGAAGAACATGGGGACCAGGTCCTGGACCGCCCCGAATGCCTGCCCGCTTTCAGGGTCCCACGCCTCATTGACCGAGTTGCGATTGTCCAATTGGGTTTCCGCTCACGCCCCCTGAGGGATGGGGGGGGGAAACCTTCCCCGGGGAGGCTCAACCCCCCCTTTCGGAGAATTTCCCCTTTGGCTACTTTGGGCGCCCTGATCATGACCCTTACCCGGCCCTGGATTGACAAGGTCCGAATGTCCCTGGCATCAGGTGCCACCACACACCCCTTCCAGGAAGCCGACCTCGATGAGCTGCGGGCTATCCTGGGACCTAGGCACCTCCATGAACGATGCCCAGGTCAACCCTTCCTCCTGGACCTAGTTTCGCACTTGGCATCCCTTTCAGGTGACCCTGATTGGGAGTTCCCCCTGACACTGAAAGAGGGGGTCCCCTTGGGAGTCTCGGACCCTACCTTGACCTCCCCCGGAGTTTGGCCGACTAAGGAGGAGCTTAAGGGAGAAGCCTGGCTGGGGGAAGACCCCCCCCCGCCGGTGGCCCATGATAACTACCCAACGGCTGAACTCTTTGCCAGTGAAATCGAGGCAACCTTTTACGAGGAACGAGCCTTGGACATGGTGGACGGGCCCTTCACTCGGTCGGAGGCGGCAGAGAGGTGCCGCTGCAAACCGGAGGAACTTTGCCCGGGCCCCCTTGCGGGGATTGATGAGTCAGACAAGATCAGGACGATCTACGATGGCTCGAAAGGGGGAGCAAACGCACACATCCAGGCTCATACGGGGGAGAAGACCACTGCACCGATGGTTGGAGACTGCCTCCACGCCATCCACTGGCTCAGGACAGCGACGGACCATCCCCATCTACTTCGAGCCACGCTCTCGAGCACTGAGGAGAGACCTCGGGATGTTCACCAGCCGGTGCAGGGGCAGTCCCCAGGTGCCGAGGGCCCTGAGAGGGACCCCCACAGCACCAGCCTGCCCCCCAGGGCCGAGGGGCCTGATCGGGGCAGGGGGATGATGGATACCTCCGGCGGCCTGGACGTCTCTCTGGGGTCGACACCCTCAGGGAAGGGACCACTCCCAGGTGCCGAGGGCCCTGATAGGAGGGCCCCCTTCCCCCCAACCCCCCCGGGCACGGAACGCCCTGGGGGGATCAGGGGGGAACCCCTGATGTGGCAGCCGCCGACACAGGGGGAAACCTTCATCATCCTCAAGGCGGATGTCACCAAGGCCCACAGGCGTATAAAAGTGCTCCCGAAAGACTGGAAATACCAGGTGGCCTGCATCCAAAACCGGTGGTGGGTCAACAGAGTGGGCACGTACGGCATGGCCTCGGCACAACTGTACTGGGGAAGAAAGGCATCCTTGGTGCTCAGACTCTTGTACTACATCTTCCCTCAGGTGGACTGGCACTTAGTCTTTGTGGACGACTACTGCTGGGTCCTCAGATGCAGCCGGGCGGACTGGGACGCCACAGCCATCCTGGCTACACTGCTGGCGCTGGGAGTCCCGCTTTCCTGGAAAAAGACGGCGCTCTCCCCGATCAATACCTGGTTGGGCTTTGTGGTGGACCCAATCACGCCCTGTGTACTGCTGGCTCCAGTCAAACACGTCATAATCCTGGCCACTCTTAAACGGCTGGCCCAGGGGGACATCTTCACCAGCAAGGAGGTGGAACAAGCCCTAGGCCGTATTCAATGGGCTACTTCGGCGTGCCCATTGACGAAACCTTTCCTCCAGCCCTTTTGGAGCTGGAAGAAGGCCTGCACCACTTCGGGCAGGCCACCGAAGCTGGTTCGTGCTCTGGCCATCCTTTTGGGGAGACTCTTCAACCAGAGGTTCCCACTGGCATCTCCGTTTGCTCCCACACTCCCATGGACGGGGGCATCTGATGCGGGAGCTGGCAGACAGGCAGACCATGCATGGGTTGGTGGTTGGTGCTCGGACGTGCCCAACCCCGACAAGTCCCGTGTGAAGTGGTTCCAGCACAGAATCACACCGGAGAGCGAGCCGTGGGCCTTCACTACTGGGGACCCGCAGCGGGCGATAGCGGCCTTGGAGCTCTTCGGCCTCCTCCTTTTGGTGAGGGCCGTTCTGCTTTGTGCAGCCGGCTCGGCTTCTCACACTAGGATCCTGGTTGCTAGTGATAACCAGGGAAATGTTTTCTCCTTAACGATTCCACTCGCAGGATGCCCAATGCGGCCATCCTCATGGAAATTGTGTTAACGCTGCATGACCAGCAGGTCATGTTGGGGCCGTCGCATGTGAAGCGCGACTTTAACACGTGGGCGGATGAACTTACTCATCCGGACCCGCAATTTCCGACTGAGAGCCGGGTCTTCCCCTCAGTCGAAAGCGAATTGATCACACTGATCTTCGCTACTTTCCTTCCTCACCCATGATGCCGGGAGGGCATCCGGTGAGGTGGGAGGATTCCTCCCTCGCTGTGGGGGTGGCATCAATCCTACTCCCATCAGCTGCTGAGGGGAGCTGCCCAGTGGAGCTGGGCAATCCTCCCATTTTGGCACTAACCCTTATGCGGCAAAAAGGAGGCACCGTTTTGCGAATAAGGCCTCAGTAGCACCAGAGTGGTGCTTTGAAGAGTCTTGGGTAAATCCTAGCGACATTACACAACTCGCCGTGGCGAACCCGCATTGACCAGCGTTTTCATTCTGTTTTTGTCCTTCAAAGCATCATGACTCCACTCCTGTGCGGGTCAGTTGCCAGTCGAGGAGCGATGCTACCAGCTCATGGCGGAGAAGATGGTGGAGCATGCGCTGCAGGGCTACAGCACCTGCCTCTTCTGCTACGGCCGCTTGTCGATGGTCTTTGCGACCCACCATTGCCCTCTTTCCAACTATCATGCAAATGGACAGGGGACTTCCCAAAAAGAAGTTGTCGTGCAAAACCCTCCTGTGAGCTTCAAGGATTGTTGGGGGTATGCCAACAGAACCGACCCCACAACCTCCGGAGTCCAACGTACGGAACATTCCCCCCCAAATGTGGTACTTGGTTTTCCCACCTTTTATGGTTGTGACCCAATTCAAACAAGACCAAGGGATCAGTTGTTGGTAAGGTTTACCAGTGGTAGAAGCGGGCAATTCCCACGACCCCTTCCCCTTTGGATGATGTTTAAGCAGAGACGAGAGGGACATCAACCAATTGGCCATGGGTCAAAATCCAAATTCCAAATTGTACCCCCAGTGAACATCCCAATCCAACCACTAAAATAGGTCCTAAAATGGGTGGTGAATTCACCTACCAACCAAAATGGGATCCCAAGACAGTTCTGACAACCACGGCCATTTAGATGAGGTGCCCAATCCTGTGAGGATCCATGACTGGATTTTCCCAGGTCAGACGGGCACGGGCAAGACCACCACCATCCTGGGCAGGAACAAGCCCCTGTCAGAGCAGGGGCTGCTGCTGCGGTTGGTCACTGACCTCTTTAAAGAGGCGTGGTCTGGTGTGGGGTTTGTCTCAACACATACGCACAAAACAGTCTTCGTGTCTTTTTGAGTTTCCTCAAGAATCTACCAACCCAACACAATCACCTCAAAATATACGTGTATATGGCTGCGGCTCAAATAAATGCACCAAAATGGGCCCCCTTGGTAAATGGACGCTCCTTATTCTTGAGCCACACCCATATATATATATACACAGCTGTGAGTATGTTGTCATGTGTGGCTCTTGGACCTTCGAGGCCAGTTAAAAAGCGAGGCCCAGGGGCCCTGAGAAGGTCAGCCTGTTGCGGCGTGTGAGAAGGGCAGGGGTGGGGGGCGGACGGGAAAGCGGAGCGGATGTGGCTGCTGAAAAATAAGGAGCTAGGGCTACCATTTACCAAGGGGCCGTTTTGGTACATGTCTTGGAGCTACAGCCATGTCGACATCTGGGACGTCCTGGGGTTATTCCATCACTCTGAGAGGGTGGAGGACCTGTTTCAAAGGCAGGGTTTTCCCATGCCCTGCCTAAACTGGGGATAGCCCACTGTTGGCTTCGTCTTTTCATCTGGGGTAGACTTAGGATACATTTTACATTTTAGCAGTGACTCAAAGTGAAGCAACCAATAAAATATACATTCTATAACTGGGCCTAACTCTAATCATGTCATGTTCACAACCTAGTTTGACTGACGGCTAATGGGCATGTTGCGCGTTGTGTAGATTGACACACTACAAACTATCCCTGTTCCACACCGGTTGCAACATGGTTTGGGAGAATGTGTTTCATTCAGGCCTGAACGGAATGTTTCAACTGGTCTAGAAACACAAGCCACCTCCACCAATTACCACTGAAACGCTTGTCAGTTGTGGCTGGAGTTTGTTCCTCAACCAGGGGTTGGCTTTGACAATGGTAGTCAGGAATCCCCCTCATGTGGCGGCCGCTCTGAAAGGCGTAGGTTTCAGAGGTAACCCCTACAAAGTTTGACAAGCCCCTCTAGTTGTCTTCTGGAATATAGATGGAGCTGCAAAATGAGTGGCCAGTGGAATTCATGTGCTTTCAACCAAACTGAAATTGGATTGAAAGGACACGTTTGCCTGCCTGCTCCCACATCCACTGGGCCTCTAGCAAACGATTTGGATGCATGATTTGTGGATTCTTTTGGGGTGATTCCTGACTGAGAGTTCTGGCTTCTCCAGCTCTCAGAGCCATGGTTTTTTTTTGTATTATTTTGATTAATCCGTATATAGCCCATTTGTATTACAATCACCATGACTGTTATTGATTGCAAAAACATGAACATTAATGTTTGGCCAGAAGGCTTCCACGCAGGTGGCGGTGCTGAGCGCGCAGTCGGAGGTCCAATGTCGGCTGCAGATCGTGGAGGTCCACAATGAGCGCGTGAGGGACCTGCTAACGGAGGGCTGCTGCTCGAGCCCAGAGGCCGGAGACGTCTCGAGAAGTCATGAGACCAGGGTGGGAAGGGGTTGACTTCTGCGAGGTCCCCCAGTAGTGCCCTTTTTACCCGTTTTTGGGGAGGGTTCCCGTACTAAAATAGACTACAGACAAAAGGGTACCTTTATTCTAGCCTCTCTACTGGAGGACCTAGTTTGCGACACCAGCCAAATGGAGGATTAGTCGTTTGTTGACCAGGGTTGTGGGAATGAGGGGTTGCTTCCCGCTTGTGTGCCAGGAAACCTTTTTCAAAAGAGGACTTGTGATTTGGACGGCCTTGCGTTGGTATCTCAGAAGTGGGAAAGTCCCACAAGGTGTCAAAGTCAGAAGCTAGAGGTTGGGTGAACTTGCCACTTGAGGGTGACTTTGATGGTAAACTCATGGGGCCAGAGAGAACTATGGAAGGAACGGCCCCCGCTTTGGGTTGAGTTAACCATCCCCTTCATCTTTTCTTTGGTACGTAGCTATTTGGCGAGCAAACTTGAAAAACTTGACGTGGGTAGAAGTCTGCATCATTCCGCAACAGTTTGAACTTTTTCTGGAAAGGCATTTGAGCAGGTCGGTTGGGGTGGGTCCCTCCTCCTTCCTCTTTTTTGTAGGTGTTGTGTCTCTTTCCTTGTTTTCTGGCGAGCTTTGCCCCTTTTGCTGTTCTCTGGTAGGTTTACTCCTCTTGCTCTGTTTTGGGGCGTTTGTCCCATCTATTGAATGCCTTGAAGCAATGAGTTCTCATTTGGGCTGGCTATGTAAGTTTCATAGCGATTTCCTTGAGAACATAGACTAAAAGAGGGAGGGTTCCGTAGAGCCAATAGCATCTTGGTGCTGCATTTTTTTTTTCAAACTATCACGAAGAGTTCAGGTGATGGCCCTGGACTTGTCGGGATATCCCGGCTATCGATTCAGACTGCAGCTTTAGCTTTCAATCCATGTACTTGACATGTTGAAATCGCTTCCTGGAGATGTTTTGTTTGTTTGCCAGGGAGTGGTGGAAGCGCTGTGATGATCTTTGCCTCACGTTGTGCTACCACTTTCTTCCACACAACGTGCTTAGGTGGCTCAAACTGGGTCAACATGGCTTCCACATTGTCACATGTAATGACCATGTGGCGCACACGATGAGGCTCATCCCTTTCTTTCCTTTTGACCGTACTTGCATCAACATGGGTCGAAGTACCTTAGGTACCAAGGGACCCTTTGGGTTTGGCTGGTCGCTCAACCAGGTTGATACACCCCGGCAACAAACCTCAGAGGGGATTCGTACTCCGGACGTGCTCATTTGAGTGGATTGATCCGTGGATTGATCCGTCACGAGAGGTCCACGTCCACCCGAAGCTGGGAGTCTACCTGAAGCACGTGGCAGACCTCCCGGTGCCATCGCTGGAGGCATGTCTTCAGCTCATCGAGGAGGTGGGAACGGGGCCAAAGAGCGAGCTAAAGGCGGTCAAAGTCGTTGAGTCAGTGATGGTTTCCTTTGGTTTCTGTTTGCACTTAACCAACCAAACGAGGCTATTCTTGTTATTCAGGCCTTCTATACCAATATATTGTTTTTTGGTTTCCGGTGTTGTTTTTGTCTATGTTTTACTTAACCAACACAAACAGGGGGTGCCCCTTTTTTCCTTGACCCTGGGTGAAGTACATGAAATTGGTCGTGGCTGAAATCGTTTGCGGTTAGACATGGATTCTTCAGGTTTAGCATGTAATTTTTACAACGAACCTATGTGTGGTCCTGCTTTGAGCGCCTCTTCACAAAAGCACTGCTGAAGTTCTGCTACTTAAGCCATGCTCAGCCATCCTGAGTTTTGTGGGGCAGGAGGTTGCTCTGCAGTGTGGCAGGCTCGATTCCCCCGTGTCCGCAAACAGTGCCTGACTTGCTTGGCGCTTCCCGCCTGGCACCGCTGAAGAGTGAGCATCCAAGTTGCACCAACAGGTCCGGAAGGAGAAGACGGGAAGCACGGAATTCAGGGACCTTTGTCCCCGGGCGGCAGGGATAATGTTGGCCATTTTTGGAAAATAAAACTCACACCGCCCCTACAAAATGAGAGATCCAACCGGTGAGGCCTTATGAGGTTTTATTAGGCCTCATGTCCGCACCTACGAGGGGAGGGCAGAACGACCTATGTTGAAGGCTCCCTATGTCTCGTGTCATGTGGGTGAAGTACTAAGATGCACAAAAGTCAACAGGGCAATTGGGCTAGTTGAAAGCATTTCGACCCATACTTGGTCGAGGCGGCTGCATGCTTAGGGTTGCCTAAGATGATGCAGGCTTAGCCTACCACCCATGGCACCTGAAGGGGGGGGGGTCTGGAAGTCCTAAGACCAGCCGTTTTGTGTTCTGACCAAAGGGGCCCTGGCTTTTTTTTGGGTGTCAGGCGCGGGGGCGGCAGACCATGGCCCCCACAGCCATGAACCCCAACAGCTCCCGGGGCCACGGGGTCTACAAGCTGAGCCTCGAGAGCCACGGCCGCGACGACAACTCCGTGATGACCTCCGAGGCGCGAGATCAAACTGTTGGGGAAGATTTCAGTGGCAAAGAAGAAGTGTGGCTACGTTCTTGGCCAATCAATGTCAATCAATCAACTCGGGGAGTGAGTGGAGTGAGTTCAGTTGCCAGGGATTCGGGATCCAGGATTCGGGTGGGGTAGCGGAGCGAACTAATGTCCTTCAGTTTTGCCTCAGGTCTTCTTCGTGGATTTGGCTGGCCGGGAGAACGAGCGCACCACCAAGGCGGAAGAGTCCACTTGCAGAGGTCCCTTTGTTCTTTGTGGTAGATTTTTTTTTTCTGGGACCCCAGTGAACTCGTCAAATCCGCAGTAATTTGGGATCGAGATTGGGGGGCAGGGGGCGAGCCACTAAATTTCCACGCGAGTCTCCGCTTGCTGGGGCGATGCGCAAGGAGAAAGCATAATGCTGCCGCCAACATAGATTGGGGCAACCGGAGGGGAGGGATTCGACTGGAATTCTACGCGTGACAGACCATGTTGTTTGGCGGGAGAGGCTTCCAGATAAGTACGTAGTGGAAGGAACCTCAGTTACGACAGGAAGGGCCTTCAGGAAGGCCTTAAGCCTGCGGGTTCGCCGTAAGCCCTGATACATGCTGGCCGTACTTTCTCGGAGCGCACCCCTGCGAGTTTTTCCGTTTCCGCAATACTCCACATCCAAGGCTGGAACCGCAAAGGCCGCCTCTTTGAATGGAACTCACCCGCATCCATTGGAAAAAGGGCCGAGTCGGCGTGGCTTGATAGGACGCCAAGCCCGGCCTAAGAGGACACCGTTAGAACATGCAACTTGACAAGATCAGAATAGGATAGTGCTCAGCGCCAAATGTTGCATGGGCATGGCTAGCTGTTTTCAAGTGGAGTGCTCCACCAGCTTGGCAATCCATTCAGGAACCAAAGTTTGGAGAACATGTGAACCACGCCCAGTGGACTTGCTAGTATTAAATATGCTAGCAGCACCAAGCCGCAGAAGTGAGGTTTGAACATGGTGAGAAACTGAATCACTGCTTTGAGGCCAAGCTTTGCTTGCCCAAACCGCACAAACCGGATGAATCTGAACAAAAACAAATCTTTCGCCCCATAAGCCAACTGAGTTTGGGATATTAGCAATGCTCAAGCCAAATCAAACCATGAAATCACAAGCCAGACGAAGCCACAAACCATTTCGCCTGCACCTCCATTGGATACCCCGCATGCCTTGGATCCCTTCTTTCCCCCTTCACGTTACTCCTCCTCCCTTTTTCGCGCGCCTGCGGCTGCGACCGCGACTGCGCGAGGTGTCGGGGGACCGGCTGGTGGAGCTGGGGTTCATCAACCGGAGTCTCATGTGGCTGTCGCAGTGCATCCACGCCCTGGGCGAGAGGCCCAGCACCGCCAGGCGCGGCGAGAGACGAGGTTCTCGGGGAACCCGGGCGGCAGCCAGGTATTGGGGTGTCAAAAGTCGGGGCCCTTTTTGGTATCCCCTTTAAAAGGCGGCACAAGGCGGCACCAGGTTTAAAGAAGAGTCCGTATTTTGGACAACACCCCATGTGGGTGAACTTGTTTGAAGGTTGGTGGGTTTGAAGGGCTTCCTTTGCAGAGTTTGTCGCCGGTTTTGGAAGGCTTTCAAGTTTCGAGTGTTTTCTTTGGGCTCGGTAGTTGCTCTTTCCAGGTTGTTTTCAAGGGAAGCCAAAAGGAAGGCCGTGTGGCACAATTTTGACATATGGATCAGGGGTCAACATGACACTTGGGCAAGACCCTCACCTTAAGCGGAACTCCAGGCGTAGGTCGCGGCTGAACAGCCTGGACGTGGACCTCAAGGGGTCCGAGGCCGGCAGTCGCAGATCCAGCTGCGCGGATAAGACCTTGACGCTAGGACTGCAAATGCCCATGGCCTGAAGTGACCATTGCTGACTGCCTCCTGAACTTTAATGTTGGGTGATGAGTAAATCCTCCCCCCCTCAAACAAATTAGGGAGGGTGAAAAGGGGAACATTTCAGAACAAATGTTGGGCCTACTTAGGAGTCTTTCAGCAAGTGCTGCTTAGTACTGGTTTAGAATTGATTTGGGTATTCGTTTGGGCTCGCCCCGTACTGTTTAGAATTGGCATAGTATTGATTTTGTTTTCCTTTGTACTGGTTCAGTAGTCTTCAAAATCGGTTGTTTAATATTTCTCGGTACGCGCCCAGACATGTTCCTTTTCTCTACTTCATCCCCTTACACATTCATGATTATTTACTTTTCGGGGCTTCCCTGTACCACCCGCTCAAAAACTTGCTTGTGCGGCTGTAAAGGGTGTCACAACGAATTTGGCTGTTTGGGGCCTCAGTTGGTTTTGCTGGCTCAGCTTGGCTTAACTTAGTATTGGTTTAGTATTACTTTGCAGTGTTTTAGTCTTGACAGTGGTTCGTTATTATCAGTATTGCCAGGGCTCGGAACTTGTTTTTTCTAATGTTAGACGGGTAGGTAATGTTTGTTTTTTCAATTATTATTTTCCCAACCGAAGCTTTTCTGAACTGCCCCTCCCTATTTGCTAATGCCTATCCGACATCATACCCTTTGGCAAGGTGATATGGATAGCAAGCAAACAGTTTGAACTCTCTTTCTGTTTGCGAATCCACTGAGGAAGTCAGCTTGACCCTTCAGTAGATGACTGATCCTTTCGCAGGGGAAAGGCACACCCATGCTTAGTAATGGGCTCACAAGGGTGATCTTCCCTTTGCTGGTGAAATGGTGGTGTTTCTTGCACTTGTTGTTCGCTTTAGCCTTTGGATCACACTTTGACATCCGAGGAAGAAGTTAAACGAGCCTCGGCCCATCGAAGAGGACGTGAGAGGCAAGGCCAGTGATGCGACCATGGCGAGGTTCCGAAACTCGAAGCTGACCTTGCTCCTGGCAACTCGACTTGGTTTCAAGGTGCCATTTTCTGTGAGGGACCTTTGAAATGATGTGTGCATGGGGATTGGAATATCATGTTGGTATGGCAGAAAGGGGCCCCATATGGATGTGTTTCAATGGGAGACCCTGTGTTGGAAACGTAAGGGGGCATCTATGTCCACGACATTTTTCGGGGCCTCACTTTCAGGCACTTGACACTCTAGCGGATCATTTTGATGATAGCCAGCGAATTGTCCACCCTTCTGGGTTGATCCCCCATTCTTTTCAACCATTGTTCTTTTCAATAACCGGCGCGTTTCCCCTGGATTTTGATGGTTTCCTGAAAAGAGGGATCCCTGGAAAGAATGGGGAAGGTACCCCCAGAACCCTCGCACTTTCCTGAGGCTGATGTGGGGGAGGGGCTGGGTCCTGAGGCGAAGGCCCTTAGCGGGAACTCCAAGACCTCGGTGATTTGCACGTTGAGCCCGGCCAGAGCCAACGCCGACGAGACCATCACCACCCTCCACTTCGCCGCCTCCTTGAAGCACGCGGCTCGGACCCAAATGCGGAGAAACGTGGTCGGGACGGGAAGGGTAGGAAAATGGGGGCTCAAAGTAATGGAAGGAACCCGAAACGGGGGTCAACCAAGATAGGCGTCCTGCTAAAGTTCTGGTTTTTGTTGCTAGTCTGGAGGGAATATAGAACCCCCACAATGTGGAGCTCTTTCTTCCAGGGGAACCCCGCTGATTAAGCCGTTGGAAGTGCAAAAGTCGGTCAAACCAGCGACAATGTTCACAGAAGCCCAACCAGCTTTACACGCCAAGAACGGTGAGTTTTGCCAAGAACTGGGGATGTTTGTCAAAAGGCCCGACCAGGAGGGTGTCTTCTTCCCCCCGTTTTGGGGCAAAACGAGGTGAAAGTGGAAGCGCGCCCGGCGCTGTGCGTGGACAAGGACTCCCTGATCAGCGGCCTTCAGGCGAACCGCTGGCCCCAAGTGTGGCCCCATTCTCGTGGGAAGTCACCAAACGCATGCTGAATGTACCTTCCATTGATTATGCTGGCTCATAGTTCCTCACGAATTTTCCGACAGGAACAAAACCAACCATAGTTGGTTTGGTGAGAGGGCAAAGCTGAGGCAGTGTTGGCCAGGGTGGAAGAGTAGATCTCTCGGAGGTATTCCGAACATCAGTTGCAACAACCCTCGTTTGAATGAAGTGTTCAGTCAATCCTCATCCTTCCATGAATAACGAACGTGGTTCCCTTGATTGGTTTCTTTCAGAATTTGGACTAGGATTGGTCAGACTGGTCAACCCTCCATCTTGAGCAGCCCAAGTGAAACAGAGATACACAGGATGTTTCATCAATCGAGATTCATTGGCATGGCCCAATCCAGCCGGAAGCATGATGACCGGACCTTTTGGACCTTACCCAAGTGTCACAAGTAGATTCGATAGTTGGTTTCATGTTCGCCGTCTTCTGAAGCAGACCGCAACAAGTGTGCCCACCTCTAGCCTCTAGTGGTCTCAAAACAGGGAGTGAATACCTCATAGTTGTGAGTACAAGCAGTCATGCTGAAAGGATCATGACTCCAGGTTGTAGCCGGCACTCAAGTGCTTGGGGCGATAAAAAAAGAAAGGGGGAGTTCCTCCCCGTTTGGAAGCGGAGCTCAGGCGGAGCTGTCAGAGCTGCGGGTAAAGCTTTCGTCGGACAGCTCGGCGGAGCTGAGCAGCCAGCTGGAGGTGGCCAATGGAATGCTCGAGAAGCCGGGGGCCCCGGGCGGCCACAAAACCAGAGAGTGCCGAGCAGATGAGTAGCTTTTTGTTGCTCCTCCATGAAAAATGGAAGAGCAACAAAGAAGCTACTCATTTGGTGGGCATCCTGGTTTTGGCGGACTCCATTACATATGTATAGGGTCGGCGGAAGGTTGAATAATTTCATATGAATTAGAAGGGAATACAAAACACTACTCAGATGGTTGCTGGCAACCCTAACGTCAGCTGGACCGGGGGTTAGGTATCCCTGCTCCAAAGTGATGCAGAGTGGGTTTCCATAGATTTCCCAATCACATGGAGAAATGCTGAACCCGGGGGGGTTGGTATCCCTGCTCCAAAATGTTTTGCAGAGTGGCCACCCCGGATTTCCCGTAGAAACGGTGGCCACGGGGGGAAAACCAGGGATTCGTCCGCTCCCTTCGGCAAGGAGTTTGAGCTGAGGTACCGGGAGAGCTGGCAGCAGAAGATCGAGGAGAACGAGCAGCTCCGCGAGCAGCGGAATTCCGCGCTGCGGCGCCTCACGGAGGCCAAGCGCCTCGACTGAGCATGTTGAGCACCTCATACCGGGGGTGGGGGGTGGGGGGTGGGGGGTGTGGGGGGTGGGGGGTGGGGGGTGGGGGGTGGGGAGCAACCCTTTCAGGGCTTGTTTTAGAGTTATACGTATATAGTTCTCTAAACTCTATTTGGTTCGATCATAGGACAATAATGTGTGTAATCATGCACAGTAGCCACTTATATTGCCATAGGGAGAAAATCGGGGTGATGAACCTCAAAATCATAGGTCAAAAAACCGTTATGTCAGCCCTGGGTGGCGCAGGAGCGGCCCATTGCCTAAGAGTGATCCTGCTCCTCGCTGCTCGGGTTTGGCTTTTTTCCCCGGCGAAAAGCTACAGGGTCGGTCAGGTCTCTGTGGCCATGGCTATGGACAGAGGCCTAGGCCATGGCGAGACGGAAGGGGGGAACCCATAGGTGTCCTGTTTGGTTGATTTGGTTGAAAAATAGAGGGCGATTCCTGGTTTACGTGGTGGTTCAATGAACTACCAGGTCCATCGATTTTCCCAAGAAGGACACCTATGGGGAAACCCGATTTTCCAGCGGCTCAGGTTCCGCGTGGGCCGCCTGCGGCACGCCGCCCCCAGCTCGGTGGACACCGTGCGCTCGTCCTCCTCGGAGCGCCGCTGGGCGCCGGGAGTCGGGGTGAACGGGGAGTCGGGCCGAGGAATGATATTATGCTAGTTTGATTTGCTTGAGCACTTTCAGGATTTGGTTCGGGGAGGGGGGTTATCAATAGAATTCCGTATGTTGTTTCTTTACTTCTTTCTTTCTTTCTTTCTTTCTTTCTTTCTTTCTTTCTTTCTTTCTTTCTTTCTTTCTTTTGTGGGGCCTGGAAAAGTGGAGTTGGGCACGCCCTCTTCCCCCCCCCCCCCCCCCCGGTGTTTGTTGGATTGTTGGATTGTCCCCTCACGCCGAGGCAAGAGCCAAGCGGAGCGCCCCGAGTGCCCACACCTTGCTGGCTACTCCGACGACCCGGGCGCAGGTGCGGGGGTGGGGGGTTCGTGGTGGTGGATGGTAGATGCGGCTCCTTCCTGGGTTGGAAAGGCATCTGGTTTCTTGGGGTTGATGCTTGAAGGAGAATAGGGGGAAGCAATACCAAAGGAAACAAGCCACTTGGATGTTGGCCCATTTGTTTATGTTGAGATTTACGCGTATGTTCTGGCATCTCTCTAATGACCTATGTTTTATGTTTTTTCTAGTCTGGACCAGGAAATCAACACGTTATGTTTCGGGTGGGGTGTGAGGGGATAGAAGGTGTTCATGGGTCCCAATTTTCGATCAGCACCCACGTGATAGAGACCATGTGCCAAGGTCCGTGGTCTTGACAGGCCATGTCACCAAAGCAAAAGGGCTAGTATTGACTGGCCAAAAGCCAAAAGTTAGGTGGCGTGCATTTCAACCGGCTATTTTAACCTGGCAGACTCCTTTTGCAGGTTGTGTTTTCCGCAAAATCGTAGAACTTGCTTAAAATGGCACAGCCCCTATTCATCCGTCAGATGTGTATTATTTTTGGGGCTCTCGTTAGAAGCAAGCTAGAATACCGCCTCAAACTTGGGACCTCAGATGGCCGCTTTGACGCTGATAGAACCTGACCTTTCCAAAAAGAACAGTCGGAAGAACAGGGCCAGCTATTCCCTGCCAAGCTCAGGCAATCTTTCCCTGCCACAGGTCTTTTTCGGTTGATGTCCAATTCTGTTCAACCCTGGTTCTTTTCAACAGCCAGGCCTTGTCCCTGGGTTTTCCACCCAGAGGCTCCTTGACCTTTCAATGGAAGACCGGACCCCTCCATTAGACAGCCCAGAGGCGGTTGGGGGTCTCAAACCAGGATGTTTGAAGGCCCTAAATCAATCGGGAGCCTCTGGGCAGAAAGGATCCCTAGGCCCTTTGCTTTGAGCGTTGGGGGCCGAGGCCGTCTCTTCTTCCCGCTCACGGAGGTGGGCTACGAGTACTGCCTGGGCTATGCCCCGGAATGCCCCCCAGCGAGATCCGATGGCCGCGGGGAAGGGGGGAAGAAGGGAAGGGGGTACCGTGGACAGATGATGTTTTGCAGACTCGAACCCCAAAAAAGCCAATACCTTGAAGAAGGTGGTTGCAAAGTAGACTGCGGGGGTTGAAGACCTTTGCTGGGAGCCTCGGAAAACAACATCAAGCAACAAGGTCAGGACAAATTATAGCTCTTGTTCGACCTCGGGCCCATCATGGAGGTTGATTTTGATCCACTCCTTGGTGAGTAAGGTTGAGCTAGAGTACTCAAGCCAAAGTATAACAATTTGAAGGATTCCCACGAAGGATGGTTTGTTGGTTCCGTGTTAATTTGCAGGGGAGTAAGGCAAAGGCATGTGAAACTGAGGATGTCAGCTTTTCTTGTTTGCCTTGGAACCAACCTAAAAAGGGCGCCCTCAAAAAAAAAAAAAAAAAAAAAAAAAAACACGGAAGAGCCGCCCAGGCCACTTCACCCTGGCGCGGAACGTGGGCATCGCCCCGCGGAGCGCCTTCGTTTGGGTGGACGCTACCAGCCGTATCTTCCTGCGGACGGAGGCACAGGCGGCGGTGGAGGTGAACCACCTGAGGCTGGAGCCAGGCGAGCCCAAGGCGGGAGGGGGTGTGTGTGGGTGGGGTTGCGTGCTGGTGGGGTTGGGTTGGTTTGTTGTGTTTTGGTGGCGCTTTGGATCAGCCAGTGGAGCTTTTTTTTCTGTTGAGACCATGAGGAATGCGTTGTTGCGGGCTGAGCTGGCCGCCTGTTCAAGCATGCTCACAGCATTAAACTCGAGCGCCCATACAGTTGCATTCAGTTTTTTGGTAGAGAATGGCAAGAGGTTCAACCACTTTTGTCCAACCTTGGCCGTTTCCCAGCTTCGACTTGCAAGGGTCTCGACCCAAGCCACAGGAGCTTTTCCATGGGGACTTCCTGGTTCTGGGCAGCTCCATTTGCTTCTTCGTGAGCCCCTTGGCCGCGGAACAAACCGACAAGCTCAAGTCGAAGCCTGGACTGTGGGCTTGCGCAGACCTGCAGTCCGCTGTTGTGCCTTTCTTTCGAATGGCTTCCCTTTGAATTCGAAATGTCCCAGGGCCTCGGCAACCAAAGAATAGTACTCGTATGGGCCCACAAGATGTTTGATTGATTCACTTCTTTTCTTTTCTTTTTTTTTTGGGGGGGGGGTGGTATATGGCATGGGCCCCATTGAAGCATCATATATGGGCCATATGGGGAGGATGTATTCAGGCTAACGTGCGCGGATTACAGCAGATGGACAAGAGCGAGCTTGTCCAAGATGAAGGATCCTTACTGGCTGGTTGACTGTTTACAGCTTTTGAAATGTAGAATGTCGCTCAGATGTAGTTAATGTTGGACCCGTGTTGCATAGTGCTTCTAGCATGGGGCTTAGAAAGGACATCGTGTGAAACAGGTGATGTTGGGATGTTTTTGAAGGGGGCCTGGCAAACCGATGCCAAACCTTGAAACCGCAGGGCACACTAAGTGAGTTCTATCAATATTTTACAAGATGCATTGTGACGCATGCAGGACGAAATTCGCCACTGGTTCACCGAGTGCAGAAGTGGTCTTCGGTTATGATTGGGTTTGCGACAAGGTCAGCCCTCAAAGTTGATATTGAGGCACAGCCAACATTGAGCATCACTTCCTGTAGTACAGAGAACCTGCACAGGTTCTGAGCGGAAAGTAAATTGCAACCAGTCTCCGAACTACATACATCAACCTTTATTGTTCTGGGGTCATGATAAGACGGTTTGTGGGGGATCATCGTCAATGCCAAACATTGGGGAATCCCTTTAGTTTACCACGGAGGTGACTTTGATGGTAAAATAGCGCCAGCTCTCTAAACTGGAGCCCGCTCTCAAACCACGGCCAGAAAGATCTAGCCCAAAAGAAGCAGAACACCCACTTATCGAAGAGATCACCTAGTATAAGCGGTGTGTTTTCTCAGTACTCCAAGTCCCATACTGAGAAAGTTTGCCTCAATTCAGTGTGAGCTTCAGCACGCATCATGAGTATGTGTTTATTTCACGGACCTGGGGCTTCTCTTTAACCGTCTTCGAAGTGAATCAGGGGCATGGCTAGTGTTTTTTGTTTTTCTTTCTCCGATTTCCTGCCTCTGACACATAAACCGTCCTTATATTCCGTTTTGTGGTCTAACATATACAACGTCACCTGCTGAAGTGAGATGAAGTGAGTTTGTTTGATACAAGGAACCGAGACGGACACAGATTTGGCGTTTGATGTGTTGCTTGGAAAAAAGTGTCCTATTCATTGTTTCCCCCAAACCGAGGGGGCTTGCCTTGGTAGGGCCTTTGGTTGTCCCCCGAAGTTGAACTTTCCATCCCATTTTGCCACCAAGCCTCGGTTGGCACATTGAACCCGAAATGGGAAGACGAAACCTTTGGAAGACGATCTTTTTCTGCAAGCCGCAATGAGGACCCTTCCGCACGCCCTCACGCCATGTTTGGGAGGGTGTGTGGTCAATGGATACCGCCCCCCCCCCCCCCCCCTTCCTCTGCGGCCTTAGGCTCCATGGTGTCTGGAAATGCAGACTTGCGTGTGCAGAAGCTGCCGACCTGGTGCCTCGAGCGGATCTTGGGGTCTCAAAGGGGAACCCGAAACTGGGTGAGGTGTCCTGCTGGTTTCCCTTAAAAGACACGGATTTACTAACTACTGGAATGGGTGTTGTGCAATCAGGACCCTGAAATGGCAAGGGTTTCCTTCTGGCTTCCCTGACAACCCAAAAGGGGGCGTTTCCACAATGAGAAACTCCCTGAGAATGATTGGGTTGGGCTCTATCCCAAACAAGAGGGGTGTATCCCAACTATTTTTATGGGCTGCAAAAAGTCTTGATGTGTTGAGGCAGGTTTTTCCGGGTTCCGCGCTATTTTTATTATTTTTTCTTCCGTTTTACCTGAGAAATCAACATCTTCAACGCAGGGGTTCCTGGTCCTTCGGCTCCATCCCATTCTTTTTTATAGCTTGCAGGCGGGCAATAGGATTGTTTCCTACTTGTGTGTTGCCAGTGCCAGGGAACCATGACCTTGACGCCCCTTGAAGACGCTGATTCATGGCAGCACAGTGATCCCATTCCCGGTACCCTGCTCTGGCTTGGGTTAGCCCCACTCCCTCAGGAGTTGGGCCTTGTTGGAGTGGCATTGGAGGCAATGGGGAAAGCGGGTCTGAGTTTCGAGGGTCACGGATGGCGATAATTTGGAAGGTTTGATTCTACAACGGGCACCCAAACGCGGTTTTCCTTGGTTAACAAGCCCCGCCAAAAAGGGGATCTTTGGAAAGGAAACCAAAAAGGAAACCGCTGGCTTACCAACCAACCAACCAGACCAAGCAACCCAGCCAACCAACCAAGCAACCAAGCAACAAGCAACCCAGCCAGCGCCAAATCACCGCCATTAGGTCACTTGCCACTGGCTCCTGAGCCGCGCGAGCCGCGCGACGCGACTGAGGTGGTCCCTGGGCCCCACGGAGCGCGCCCAGCTGGTGCGCCAGGTGCTGGGCAGCTGTGCGCCCGGCGCGCACCAGGCGAGCCGGGCGAGCCGGGAAGGTTTCGGTTTCACGAGGGGGAAAGGGAAGAGGAGGCGAGTGTCCTATTCAGCATTATCTTCCATTTGGTTAATATGTGTTTATTGCCCCTTGTTGGTTGTAAAGGGAAAATATATCACTACTGAAAATATGTGCTCATTTTTCCCAGGGGTCTTAACCAAATGAAGGATCCAAAGGGAAGGCCAAAAGGCCAGGAGATGGGGCCAGCGAGTTCCATTCAAAACCCTCCCATGTAAGGGAGTAACGCGGCGACCCAGGCTCATGTCACACTTGGTAGGGTTGGCCACAAAAATTCAGGAATCAACCCACTTTTTGGGGTTGCAAAAGAGGGGCCTTCTTGGGGGAATGGCCACACAATTGACCAGATTAAGCCAAATTGTCCTACAAAAACATAGGTCAGTAGTGATTTAGCCCCTAATAGTTACGGTGTTGTTGTTTTTTTGGGGGGGTCCTCAAAACATTGCCAAATGGAACACCCCCTATTAATCAGCGAGGGGAGTTGTATTAACCCTTGTTTCAATACCTGGAGTCTCCATGGCCCTGAACTAGAATATAATTCCAACGCAAGGCCCGAGAAACCAGGGAAGGGAGGTTAGAGGAGAGGAGGGGGGAGTTGGATCCTAGCGATGAAACACCCCAAAAAGAAAATTCGAGTATGTATTGCCACCACATGAGGGATATGTATCCCAAGTTCTCTTGCCGGTAGCCGTTTGGTGGCAGTCAAACAAGGTTCGTTCCCCACATTGAGACTTCTCAAACAATAATGTGTTTGTTTGCAACATACCTTATCGCACAGTGATCCCCATGATGAAGGTTCGATTTATAGGGAACCCTTATTTCATGTCGGTGTTGGTTTAATCACCTAGATTAACAAGCCACCCTCAGCCCCACCCACGTGAAACCCACCAGAAGGTGCTTCCAAGAGGAGCATGTTCTGTCAATTACCTCCTTGCTTCGCTAACTATACTCCAACCATGGCTGCTTCTAAAACTCCGGACAAACATGGGTGTCATCCCCTACAACCACATTTTGCCAGTCACTGTCCAGTTTGAAAGAAAAAGAGATAATGATTGGATGTTCATGCCAATACGCCAAAAATTGAGTGGACACATATTATTCCATGTTCTTTTGGTGCATTGTTTGACTTTTGCGTGAAAGTCAGGGAGGGCAAATCCTGTTCTACCTTGGGCACAGGTTGCAAGTAAGTGGGATTTGTTTGGGCTCTCCAAGAAACCTGGGGTTGCCAAATTTTTGGTGAAACGGAAAATGCTGCGTGGATGTCCTTTGCTCGTCCACTTTGCAAGCAACGGAGTTTTGTTTCTTAGTGTTGTCGCTCTGAAAGGGAGCACAACATCCATGGGACATTCTTCCAGTCTTTTTTGATTATTTGATTTGAGTAAAGACCCAACGCGTGTAGGCCAATTGTTCTGGCCAGTGAACACCAAGGAAACATTCAAGCCATTTGCGAATGCAAAGCAGGAGCTCCAGGTCCATTGTGTTCGAATGAGGCTTTCTCAGAGCCTTTGAGCATCTTCAGAGCAATGTTCCAGAGCGTCAGGAAAATATGGTTTTGTGTTTCTTGTTTCTACGGAGCTTTATTCCGGATACGTTCATATTCCTTTTGTTGGGCGGCAGGATGCACATTTCGATCGGGTGCTTCCAAAGTCCGTGCGCGGAAGTTCAAAGATTCCACTTCGACCAACTTTGACCCCCATGCTTTGTGTGAATCGATGACTGGCCTTGTCGTCACAAATTGCAGCGCCTGCAAATCAATTTGCGTGGAACTCACCGCATCCATTGGGGCGATGCAATTTCAGTTTGACTCTGAACAAGCAGAGGCCCAAGCTCTTTGAGAACCGCCTAGTGAGTGTAAACCTTCAACTCCGCCGTGTTGCCGGCTTTCCGGGCCGCGCACCGCCCGGGTTCAGGTGGCCTTGCACTACATGTCCACCTTGCAGGGCCAGAACCTGGACAGCCGCAGCTTCCAGAGGCGCCGGCGTGAAGGTAGGAAGATGGATGGCGTAGTTCATGGTGATCGTTTGGTATTATACATATTTTTTCTCTCTGAACTGGTTTCATGGATGTCTTGTATTTTTCGTATCGGGCTGGTCGATGGCAACTGGCTGGGGGCTTCAAGCTACTTCGAAGTTCAACCCATTTTGGGTTTCCCAAGTTTGCCCGTCCGCTGGCATGGTTCTGGAATTTGTTTATTGCTTCACCATCAGAATTCATCCAACAAAGGGCACCACAACGTCCTGGCCCTCAACTTTGAAGTGTTCCGGCGTCTCCAAACATGTTTCATGTTGTAAGGTTACCAATTACAAAACAGGACAAAACAGATACTGAACATGTTCTCTGTGCCCCAGATGTGGGCCAAGTTGTGGTGCCGCGGCGCAAAACACCGCGCTTGTTTTTGGTCGCGGTGGTCAGTGGTGTGGTTCTGCCACCAAAGGCCAAAGGGGGTCGCAACAGAAAACAGATACCGTAGGATGTGTCTTTCAGGTACCTTTTTCTGGGCAATGTCTCAAAAGGAAACCAAACAGACGCCTCCCATTTGGAGCGAAGACACATCTTCCTCTTTGATAGCTGTTGCAAATGCACCTCCATTCGCAGGGTTGGTCTCAAAACGAGTTGCACTTGAAGCGTGACCGGTGAGCATGTTTCAACTTGCAACATGTTGGTACGGTCCCAACCACACCCCACCTTCAAATTTCGTTTTAGTGGGAGGCTGAAACCAATATCCACTGTGAGTGGCCGGAGTTGCAACCTTTCCCAAAGGGAACCTCAAGGCGGCTGTTGGGCAAAGGGAAATCAAGAGGAGACCAGAGGAGACCCATTGGCCCAGACATTCGAGGCTGGACAAGTTCCTGCTGGCCGCCAAGCGAACTGCTTTCCTGGTGGCCGAGGCGGGTGTATCGTTGGGGTGTGTTTTGTTTTTTGTGTGACCTCTCTGGTTTATGGTGGAACAAAGTAATTTATGGTCCAATGTATGGCGCATGCCCCCTTTCAACATCAACACACCCAAAGTCAAGTAATGCAGTTTGGCAACTAGTGACAAACCTGTAAACCATCTCAGCACAAAATGTGATATAGTGATGCCTCCAACATGCTAGGCTTTCAGCAACCAAAGAACTATTGAGGTTGTCGGGAAAGGAATGGGGGAGCCCCCTGGTTCAATTTGACTAGGGTCGAGGTTATCAGCTACCCCCCCCCCCCGCAAAAAAAACACAAAAACAAACAAACAAGAAAAGAAAAGACACACACACAGGGATTCTTCTGCGGCATCTAGGCCAATGCACTCACGGACGCCCTGAAGCCTCTGTCCAACTTGAAGCTGGAGTTGTCCTCGCTGGCGCCGGTGATGGTCTACGGGTACGGTGCACCTCGGCCAGCTCAGTCGCATCGATCCGAGCCGAGAGAACGAAGAAGCCTGCCGCGATAGGGTATGACCCGGTGGGGGGAGTGTTGAGAATGAAGTGGAAGGGGATTCCCGAATAATGGAAACCATAGCGGATGGTTTGTAGGGGGGCATTCCCTCATTCCCCGCTGAGAACCAGCAAGCCAAGGAAACGAAGCAAAGCAAAGGAAGAAGCAAGCAAGCAAGCAAACAAGCAAGCTGACAAGAAAGCAACTGAGCACACAGGCATACACACACACAAACACACACTCTCTCACAAAGCAGACGATGGCACGATGAGAAGGCAGATGGTACCTTCATAACAGTTGAGTTACTGGAAAACCCTCAGAACCGCAGGGTGTATCCGATGCAACATGAATTGGACACGCAGGAACAGACATCAATGCTTGGCTGAGGCTTGGAGCAAGTCGCACCAGGATTTCCATTCAAGCAACCATGCCTGTGTCCTCAACCAAACACGTGTCATGTCGCTCATGTAGTTCTTTGCCGGATTGTGAGGATATGTCGAAACTGGATCCTTGTTGCTTGTTCCAAACTCGTGTCGGCCTCGTACAGCTTGTGAATTTTACCGCCGGGTTCACATGCAGCTTCTGGTCAATGTCAGCCAATGGACTAGATCAATTCCGCGGGTCAGCTGGCTCAGCCTTTTGCCAGGACAACTTCGGCGTGCCCGACCTCTGTGTTCGCCTCATCAGGCCCTTCGGGCCCTTCGGGTTCACGGGGACTACGAAAGCTGCTGGTCGATTGGATGGGATTGAAGTAGACTGAGTGGACTTGGCAGCCGGTGGATGCTTGTCCAAGGGCCGGACATCTTTACCTCAAATGTGCTCGTCGCAGCATAGGGAACCCCAATGAATAGGTGGTTTCAGTTCCTTCTCAGACAAACCAAGAGAAACGACCCCCCAATAGCCTAACAACTTGGTACAAAAATGCCCAAAGGTGGCATGACTGGGACTCCTGGGACGGTTTTTCAAGGGAGATCCGCACGATAACAGCATTCTGGACGTGACGAATTAAAATGGAGTAATTGGCCATGAATTCACCCCCCAATTCAGAAAACCTTGGCACATTTTAGGAAATACCCATGATCAGAAGCTCGCTTGGCCAGATTTGCTCCTGTGCAGATTGATAGCCTGCACAAACCATGATTTGCAGAGGAGTTGTCTCCTTTTTGTGGGACCCTTTTTGGGTTCCATTTTCATCAGCTACGGACACCTCTTGTGGCTTCATTCCAAAGATGGGGCATCAACACCCTTTTGTTTGGGTCCGGTGGGGAGAGAGAGAGAGAGAGCGAAAGAGGGGGCGGTTCTTGCGCGGAGAGTTCGCACCTTAAAGGCTACATGCATGAGGCAAGATACGAACTGAATCCCTATGAACTTCCAGTTGTCGATTCAGTCAAACTATTCAGAACCTCAGCATTAAAGGGCCCCCAAAAAAGGGGGTTCTGAGGGATACATGTCAATATCAGATCCAACAGTATCTCATATGAGCCACAATCAGAGCTCGGGTAGATGAAGGTTGATACTTCCAGGCTTCTTTTTGTTCTTTACCTGGTTCTGGGTAGACCATTCCCGGGTTTTGATATTCCGACTCACAGGGTTCCCTGCACATGGACAAACTTGCCCAGATCCGGCTGTGGTTGTCAAGCGTTTTGGCATCCCATTTTGGCTGCTAGGTGAATTCACCACCCATCTTAGTCAATGGTACCATTTTGGGGTAGGTGAATTCACCACCCATTTGAGGCTTCCTATTTTAGTGGTTGGATGTGTTGGATTCTAAACTGGACCTAGCAAATTGAGTGGTGCACCATTTTAGTGGTTGGGTTGGTTGTCCCGTTCACTGGCTAACCGATTTGGATTTCGAGCCATGGCCAGTTCTCGGTTTCAGTCGCCAGGATGGCCGTGGAGGCGGAGGTGGTGGCGATCTGGTCCCTGGCGCAGTTTGAGGCGCTGGTCGTGTAGGCATAGGTGTCCTTTTTGGTTGATGTAGCTTTAGCTAGCTGAAGTTTCTCCTTGCGTAAGCAAGGTAAGGGGCTCAAATGCCGAAAGATTGATTTTTTCAATTATTTGAGCCGAAAAGATTGAAACATATCAATTATTTAGACCCCCCCCCCCTCCCCCCCCCCCCGGGTCTCAGGCTCGATTCCTCCCTGGTCCATCCCCCGGCAGTGGCTCAATGTTCAGCAGTCTCGGTTTGCCTGTTTTGGACTTGGTGCTACGAACTTTTACATGTTCCACCGATTCAGCTTGTTCACTTGAGACCTGAGTTTTCTCGGTAAACCACCTCGCAAGAATCTTTGCACACGCTGCATGCAGAACCCAGAGGTGCTTTAAGACAGCTTCTGACGCCTCTCGTTGTTTTCATTTTTCAAGGTTTGCCACGCCACCATGTGCGTTTGCGTGTCGCATCCTACGAATCTTGCCGGGCCTCTCGTTGTACACAAGCTACCTATGAATCCACTCTGTCACCGACCCATCTCACGCAACAACTGCTAGCTTTCGTTCACCAGCTCCTCAAGTTGAAAAATACCAATTTCGTTGATTTAGATTGGTTGATTTGGTTGATTTGGTTGATTTGGTTGATTTCGAGTTGGTTGATTTGGTTGTTTTTGATTTGGTCGATTTGGTTGAAAAATAGAGGGCGATGCCTGGTTTACGTGGTTCAATCAACGGCTTCCAGGGAAACACGTCTATTTTCAAAAAGGACAGTTGAACAATAGAGGGCGATCCTTGGTTTACGTGGTTCAATCAACGGTTTCCAGGGAAACCCATCTATGTTTCAAAAAGGACAGTTGACAAATACAGGGCGATCCCTGGTTTACGTGGTTCAATCAACGGTTTCCAGGGAAACCCATCTATTTTCCAAAAAGGACAGTTGACAAATAGAGGGCGATCGGACAGTTGACAAGTAGAGGGCGATCCCTGGTTTACGTGGTTCAATCAACGGTTTCCAGGGAAACCCATCTATTTTCCAAAAAGGACAGTTGAACAATGGAGGGCGATCCCTGGTTTAAGTGGTTCAATTTAACGTTTTCCAGGGACACCCATCTATTTTCCAAGGACAGGTTCCTGTCATTTTCGTTCTTTCCAGGGATACTTCTTTCCAACCTCAATGAACCCGGGGAAACGGTTGGTTTTGGAGAAGAAGGATGGTTGAAAAGAATGGGGAATCAAACCCTAGAGTGTTGTAGGGGCATGCTGCACCCGCAGTTTGTCAGGCAGTGCAAGGGGCTAGTCGCGTTCTAGTGGTTTGCGTTTATAAATATGACCAAATATTTTGGTTTTTAGTACCTCCACAACTCCACTCGAATTATTCAGGACCTCATAGGTGCCCGCAAGTAGATGCCCGAATTTACAGCGGTCCAAACTACACAATGAGTACACGAAGGGACAGGTTTTGTCAGAAGGTGCCAGGAACTTTACCATCCCCACGCCGTACAGTCAATGTGTAGTGAGGGGGTCCTGTTTATGCATTTCCCATGGTTTCCTTGGTGGGTATAGTAAGAGCACGACTTCCCAGTTAATTTTAACGTCGGATGAATAGTGCCGAGAAGGTCAGGCCTCAGATCAAACTGGGGATTAAACAAACCTGCCGTGTGATTCAGCCGGTGGCTTATATGAAAGGAAGTTAGCTTGGAGACGAGCAGTCATTCTGCAGCATTCGTTGCAAACCAAATGGTGCCGTTACACACCAGGCTCCAGCGGTAGGAAGCAGCGGTGAAGTTTGGAGCATGCGTTCAGATTTGCCCAAAGTAGGATCCCCTGCAATTGACAAAGATGCTGTCCCAAAGGCCCTGATAATTTTGAATTGCGAGATTCTCACATGGGTTGTAGCTCGGCTCTCTTTGTTTGTCTCCCGTTAATTCTAGGTTTGCGCTTACGTCATGTGCCAACACTAGGACCCCTCAAGGTGGCAGTTTCCAGCACCCAAGGTAGTATTCAAAAGAACCTCTTCAGGGGTTGAAGAAGGGAACAGGTACTATTGGAGTCTCTGGCTTGTGCTGGATCGCGCTCGTCGCAGACCTCAAACTGCCTGGGTTTCAACTGACAATCTTTCCCTTCCGAGTCCCCACCTTCGCCAGGTGCGGCTGCAGACCATGAGGCAACTGCACGAAAAGCGGCTCCACAGCCCTGATCGCTTCGCCCTGGACACGAGGCGTGGTCTCACAGCCTCCAAGGTTCACCCAGCCTTGGCTATGGACCAGGGAAAGGGCCTTAAGGTCAGGTGGGCCAGCAAGCTCTTGCGTTCGAATTTTCGGGTCGCTGTTCTCTGAGTTGGGTCTTGGGTGGGTGTCAGAGTTTTTGTCAATTTAGTCGTGGCCGATGGAGTTCCGGAAGGTCAACCAACCATTGCTCCATTTGGGGGCAGCTTCTCAGACTTGGGAATAGCCCCCCTCATTTTTGTCAACCCTTGCAGAGAGATGACCACAACCCGCATTTGTGTAGTCATGTTGGTGTGATCCCTCAGTGTGTTGGTTTCGAGACACTTTGGTCAAAGTGCGGTCCACGAGCTCGAGGTTCAGTTGATCTCAAGCTGGAAGACTCCCTTGCGGCAGCTGAGCTCAGGTTTCCCCCTAAAGAAGCAACTAAAAGATAAACCAGCAAAAAAATGGATTTCCTTTTGGTTTTCCTTTGAAAAGGAAAGCCAAAGTGAAAGAGTACACGCAAACAAAACCCCATTTGGCGGAGCCCCTGTCAAAGCACCCTCACCACCTAAACCGACCCGGAAACCCACCCTGGCTCGGTCCCTGTCGCTTTGTTGTTGCGATGATGTCCAAAAATTGGGCACCCCCTTTGTGGGTGTCAGGAGCAAAGCATCAGGAAACATCAACCCTAGAAACAGGGCTCCCAATTGCGAGGCCCACGCCGACTGGCGGCCTCCGTGGTGTTCTGTCTCAACACCACCTGGGTATCCAATGGCGGACTTGACATGGATTGCTCAAAATGCCCGCGAGAGGCTCGATCCCTGGGGCGAGCTGGTCATGCCGACCACTCCGAGTGGCAGCCCAAGATCAACTGTGAAAAATGGGGTTGCCGCTTTCCACCTGTGATACCCAGAAAGAACTCGACCCTGTTCAAAAGTGCTAAACTAGTCATAGCTAGGGCCTCGGAATCAACCCCTTTTGGATGGTGATGTGTGCGATTGAACGTGCCTCTTGTGGCTCGGTCTTAGGGAAATCGCCGGGCCTTGGTCAGGTCCGCGCTTCGCTGATCTCGCTTAAAGCGCCGGCTTGGGTTCGGCGAAGACCAAGAAGGTTTGCCACTACCTTGGGGGTTGGCCCCTTTTCCCCGTCGGGTCCTGCGGGTTGCTGGCTGCGGTTAGGCCAGCGGTGCGGCTGTAGCAGCTGGCCCTATAGCTGCGGCTTGCTGCGGCTTCTTCGGGACGTCCCCTCCACCGAGCGCAGCCCGTTTGGGGCCTGTTTTCCTACTTTGCTTTAATGGTTCGACTTGGCAGTTTGACAAACGCACCATCTGACAGGCTGCAGAAGTGCCAAAGGACCCCCAGGAAACCAACTGACCCCTGTGATGTCATCCGAATGTGAGGCCGCAGGCTCCGAGACTCGCGCCCCGACATTTGCGCGGAAGTCTCGCGCCTGGGCCGCGATGTGTGTCGCTTTCTTGTGGGGGGGGAGCTTACTTTCGGCTGGTATGAAGAGCCAAATAAAAACCATATGGAAGAGGGTGACAGAAGGAAGGTGTGGAAAGAATAGACAGCCAACAAAAGTACCCCTTCCCCTGCCCCATAATATATATATATATATATATGTATACACAATATGTGGGAAATGTGGGAATATATGTTGTCCCTCTTGCAAGGCGAAGTCGGATATGCAGCCACTTCACTGCCCACTTTGGATTCACAGACATTCACAGACCTTTCCCGCTTGAGGACTGAGTCATTTGGGATTCCAATCCCATTGATTGGCCAATACTAAAATCAAGCTTAAGTGTAACGGTTCAAAAGCAACAAACGTCAGGTTCTTTAGGATCCGTGATCCATACTGCTTTAGCTAGGTTTTGGTTGTTTGGGTCTCGGCGGCCTGGCTCAAGCACCTTGCAAACCAGTCCCCCACCCCCCCTCCCGTCAAGGGCAAGGGCGTCAGCCCTTTTTGTTTGGCCGAATTCGGTGCGGTTCGCCCTCACATTGGAATTCGGAGAGCTTTTTTTTCGGAACAGACAACTGCGGCAGTGCACGTTTCGTGCTTTTTGGTACCTGCGTAGATTGTGTTTTTCTTTGTTGTTTTGAGGTATGTGTGTAAGTGTCTTTCTTGTCTGCTATTCTACTGCATTCCTGTGTTCCCAAAACACAGCTCGAGAGTGCCAAAAACACAAAACCAACAGTGACACCAGAACCAACAAGCACAAATCTCAGACAGTTTTTACTTTTCAGTGGGTCAAGCCTGCCCAAAACAAAAAATAACAAAACACACCTCGATACAACCAACCAGCAACACACAAAACAAGAACAAACAGCCACAATCCTCAGACACTCTTTCTAGAAGTAGCATGTGCCACGAGTCCTGGGAGATGCCAAGCGTGTCTCTTTGCGTTTTTGTTTTTGTTGCTTTGCTCTTTGCTTTTCTCGAGTTAGTTTGGTTTTTGGTGTTCGACAGGGCTGATCCAGTGGATTTCATTTAGTGGACAATAATTCCTACTTCAAAATCCAGCTTAGTATTAGTTTTCGATTTGAACTCTGCTTGAAGAAATTGCGTTTAACTATGTATCATGAACAGGAATGGTATGGAACGGAAATCCAGTGCAAAGTCTCATTTGAAATGGAATAGTTTGTATGTAAATTCTAGCTTAAAATGTCATGTGTTTTGCATTATTCTCTATCAAATTGTATTGAAGCTCTAATTGAATTGTAAAGCTCTGTTTAGCAATGAATTCTTAAACTTCAAATTTAGGATATAATTTCCCAAAGGAATCGGAATGAGTAGTTCCTTATTGAGCCCATTGTAGGGGATTATTGAGCCCCTTGTTGAGCCTATTGAGTCCATTAGTGTTCTCACCATGATAGTGCTGGGGATTCTTTCCTTATGAAATTCTACTTAGTAGTGTCATGAGCGTCTCTTTGCAAGCACATGTTTTTCAATGTTTGGGCCTCTGAATTGTATCCTTATATACTTAATGTATTTTTCAAGTTCTACTCAATGTCTAGCTGAATTTAGATACAGTTTAGAAATGACATAATTCAATCATAGTTTATGTTTACATTAGACCAAAACAATACGTATTCTATTTAAATGTATAATTTATTCAGGATTTCCGTTGCAATATAATATCGTTATCAATCAACATTTAAACACTGTGTGTTCAATTGGCGCTCAACATGAGTGCAAACAGAACATACAGACTTGCATGCACGCGCAAATCAAACTACGGCAAAAAGTGCACCCCTGCCCTCTTTTTCTTGGGGGGGGGTTGCAGTTGCGGGGATTGGGCGCTTGACGTAGGACTGTGTGGGCACACCAAAAAAGAGGCCAGCGGCCCGGGCCCCGTGTTAGTCTCAACACAGAACCTGATGGACTGTCCTCTTCAAGGGATAGGTTGCAAGATGGGAGTCCAACAGATCTGCCAAGAAAGATCTTCCGTCTTAAAGCAACGCGGAAAAGGGATTCCTGGCTTTGACTTCTCCTTATTTTGACTTCCACCTAGGCGGAACCAAAGGAACGAAACTTAAGCCATAGCTTCAGTGTCCGTGTTCTTCTCTTGTTTTTTTTTGGATGGTTCTCGAAGTACAATCAAATGGTGGTATTCCGCTTTAACCATAGTATCGGCAGTGTCTCGTTTATGGCCTCCAAAAAGGGTACCGCGCCTCAAACACAGACAGCCCCTTCTCAAAGCACGTTTTTATCATGGTCACCAACATTTCGATTCTGTTTGTCATGGCCGTTGCTCAGGAATGCGGGCGCTGAGACCTCGAGCCTGGCGCAGGATCCGGGGCTTGCCGGTTCGGTTGGGAACCATTGGATGCATAGGCGTCCTTTTTAGGTTTGGTTAAAAGTAGATGGCGCAGGTTTAGATGGGGTTTATTCCATTGACCAGGGCCATCAACTTTTCCAAAAGGCGACTTATGATTGGATGGATTTCTGGCCAGGCTCCGGATGATCCTTGGAGGGAATCTGCCAGACTTCTATTACAAAGCTGAACACAGAACCCCACTCGGCTCCAGGCAGAGGGAGGGGCATCTTGATGTGACCTGGACTTTTTTGGGGCCATCTACTGAGGTGAGCTGGATTGCTGTATGAAGACAAATCTCAACATCTTGAAGGTTCGAAACGGGGAGTCTTATTCGACAACCGTGCAGATGGTTGGCCGCCACTGCAAGTGGGTTGGCTCGGTTTTTTCTCTCCCGTCAGGATGCCGAGAGGCTGCTGCTGAAGCCGCTGGGCTGAAACGGGCCAACATTAGAGATATAGCTGTGGTTGTCAAAACCAATGGGATCCCATTTTGGGCTAGGTGATTTCACCACCCATTTTAGAACCTATTTTAGTGGGGATTGGGATGTTCACTGGGGTACGGGCTTTTGACCCATGGCCATATGTTTTTTGCTGGGAGCGAGAGCGGAGGTACTGTAGAAGAGAACAAGGCCATGATTTTAAATGTCTACCCTTCCAGGTTGACACAGAAGGACCCGCCCAAAAAAGCCATCCTGGCCCACCCATGTCGGAGAAAGGAGCCTGTTTTGGGGTAGATAGGACTGCCCATTCTATTCTGACGTTTGTTGTCAACGTGGCAGCCCAAGGTTTGGGAATTGTGTGATGTTGCTTGAAAGGGCAGGGTTGAGTGAACAGAATGGACCAGTACAGGGATTTGACAAAGTCGTGCCTCCGTTTGAGGCATTGCTCAAATTCCATGGGGGGAGGGTTTAGAAGAAGTCGTGCCTTTTTCCAAAACGCGTAGGAACTCTGCATGTTTGAAGGGATAGGCTTTTGGGAGGCATTGCAGTTGAAGATGGCTATTCTGTTGGGTTTAGGATGGTTTAGGCATGTTCTATCTTATTGCCAAGGAGTGTTCACAGTGTGTTTCGCAATCTTGAGACATGACGTCTCTTTTGCTGCAGCTGGTTTGAGTCGGCACCTTGCTTGTCTTCTCACCTGGACTGACCTGGCGTGCCGGGCTGAGCGGGTGCGCTTGAGCAGGGGTTCTTACCATTTGGCTGGCGTGTGTGCAGCGCTGAGCCGGTGTGCTTGAGCGGGGGTCTTACCATTTGGCTGGCGTGTGTGCGCAGGGCTGAGCAGGCGCGCTTGAGCGACTGGCGCTCGCAGGTGCGGAATTGAGTCAAAAAGTGGGTGCGGAAGTGAGTTGATGGCAGCAGGTGCAGAAGTGAGTGAACTTGTGAGCGCGGGTTCGGCACATGCGGCTGCGGGCCTAAGTCTTCAACGGACGATCGGTGATCTCGCTTTGATCTCGCTTTGATCCCGCTTGATCTCGTTTTGATCTCGTTTTTTTGCCAGGGTGCATTGCGCATATGCCTGCCTGCCTTCCAGACAAAAAAGCGCTCCAGGACGCGAAAAAGATGGTGCAAGAGCTGGCAAAGGCCACCCATTGCATCATGTCTTCCTAAACACTCCTGCAACAACCTATCGTATGCTTAGCGTTCCATTGGTTTTCATGTTCCTGCAGACGCCTCGCGAGGCTGGAAAACATGCTTTGCCATCATTAGCGCTCCAGTGTGTTTCAGTGTTGACACCTGTGGTTTTTAGCATGACCAGCTCGGTGATGTCCAGCGTTCCATGGGGATTGTTGCCGAGGCGTGACTTAGGAGTGACTTCTTGGAATCGGCGTTTACATGGGGGAAAACATGGCCACAGAGATAAAGGAGTGACTTAGGCATGGCTTTGTCGTTTGCCTGTAGCACTCAGCCCTAGAAAGTGCATCGTCTCAACACTGTGCAGATTTGCGTTTATTGGTTAGTGATCAAACCGTAGCCACGCCCATGTTTCCCTGCATTGTGCTCTACAGAAATTAAGGGTGTGGTTCGGCGCAAAGGAACGCCCCTCTGGTGGAATTGGACTCGATCTGAGGATGGACAATTTGCTGGCGCAGCAGACTGGCAACCAGCAAGCAGGCCAATTGGTGTGGGTTTGTCGCGAAATGTGGGACCCCCTACAAATCGGAGATTGAATGCCCTGTTCTTTTCTCTTATGTTCTGTTCGTAAATCAGGATCGCTTCGCTTGAAAGCATGGTTTCCCTCTGTTTTCCGATTAAGGCAAGCCGAAATGGGCACCCTCCGAACAGACACTCGTGCGGCCACTGCGAAACTGAGGAAGTCGCCAAGATTGGACAGGGTTGCTCTGAGTTTGTAGTATTGGCATGAAGCAAGCCCAAGGATAGATCTCTGTCAGATTTAGGGCATTGCGGCGGCCGATTCCAGCCTGAGAGAAAGAAGAGACATCTCGTTTTTGCTTGATCGATATCCAGTTCTGAGGCTGGTACGTCAGTTCAGATTGCCGATACCCAGTTCTGAGGCTTGATCGATTTTCCTATTTTCATCCTCTTGGCAGGTGCAAGAGTCAGGGGCCCCGAACAACCCAATTTGTTTCGGGTAGGGACCTTCCCAATGTTCGCTCAGAGGTTCATGCGACCGCAGGAGACGGAAAGTTGAAAGGCGCGAGGCGGGGCTGCCGAGTGCCCGTCACCGATGTTCATTGGAGCGCCAAAGCCCCTTGTAGCTGTGTGTGTGTGTGTGCGTCCCCGTCGGACACACCCAAACCAATGCCACGCTTTGTTGTTCTCGGGAGTTGTTCGCCCCAAAACGGACTGCAATGATGCTGGCAATGCAGCACGGGGACTGTTTGGTAGAAGCAAGGGGCTTCTGTTTAGTGAAGAATACAATGAAGGCGTGTTAATAACCCTGGCTGCTTTCGAGGGAATTTAGATGACTGTGGCATTTCAATCAATGGAGCCGTTGCCAGGCACGCGCTTGTAGCCATATCTTGATGGGGCCCGCTGGTGTGCCGCTGGTCCTGCCAATTCGGAGGCTTACCTTCTGAGCTAGGGGAATGGAGGGACTTGCATAAAGGCCCGCCGTGGTTGTCGATTACCAGGGTTCACCAAGGGCCCCCAGCCCTTTGACCTTTTTTTTGGGGGAGGTTCCCCTACAAAAATAAACTACATGCAAAAAAAAGGTACCCTTTTCTAACCTCTCTACAGGAGGAGCTAGCGGGTTCAGGAAATCGTTTGCCCATCTGAGAAGAGGGGTGATATGAGTTAGACTAGGCCTTGCCCCTCCGCATATTGCCATCCAGTCATAGGGTCCCCCCCCACCCACGTTTTGGCACAATTCAAATACGCCCACAAGAACAACCCTATTTTCACCCAATTATCACTCCCCGAAAAGTGGTTAACCAACGGAAAAAGGAAAACATAAGGGCGAACTCAAATCATGTCAACAATCCCAGTAAATATGGATGGCAAAATGCGGACGGGACAAGGCTATATTTGATAGATGTTCACCATCATGGCTACTGACTTAGCAACAATGCCCCAGAAATCCGTTGCAGCAGCCCCAGAAATCCACTGCAAGCGCCCCAGAAATCCACTGCAACAGGTGCAGAATTCCGGAGCAACAGCCCAAGAAAGCCGTAGCAACTGCCCTAGCATTCCACAGCAACTGCCCAAGACATGCTTGCAAGGTAAGGTAGCTTCACCATATGCAGCAAAATTCACTGCTTCATGATACATATCTAATAACTGCTGTTTATCTACGATGGCGGAATTTTCTTCAATAAGACTCATTAACTCACTAGCATGTTTCAAAAAAATGTATACTGAACTAATCGAATGATAGGCGCTAAAACATTGAATTTTTGCGTTCAACAAATTACACTTACTGCATCATGCCTGCCTCTCGTAAAAACCGTGTAATAATTTACTATAGCTAACAAATTTTGGATCATCGGCATGGTCGTCTATAACGCTTAATATTGAATGTAGTTTCTTTATATTTTTAGATTTAATACAGTGAATAGTTTATTATGCTTTTCCATTACATTTTCTAAATCAGTCGGATTGTAATTGTCAAAATAAATTTGTTCCTTTTCATCATCCACGTGCAATTCATCGCGTTTTTTTTACCTTCTGTCAATGTAGGGTCGTTATGAACACTGGGTGAAAATATAATGTTCCTGCGAATGAATTTCTATAAACATTTAAGATAACATTCTGACAAAGTACTGTTTGGGTTTCTGTCGAACTCGCAACAATAATACTTCTAACTGGTAATTTTGGCACATGCTCATATTTAGATTGTTTGAACTCGTAATCAGTTGTATTTATTAGTTTGATAATTGGAACATCGCTCATAGTTAATATTAAACATATTTAGAAAATAGTTTATAGTTCATCCTAAATGGAACGTCTTTTCTTGAAATGGAACAGGCTTTTCATTGCTTCAATCAATAAGCATTGAAGATAATTAGTTTGAATTAGTTTGAACCCTGCTTGCGTGTTGCCAAGGTTAATTATAATAAAAATTTATCCTTTTTTATATGAATAGAAGTTATTCAGATTATAATGATATAATAGATGTAGAGAAAGTCGAACAAGTCATAATATCTGATAGTAAGATTCCAAACATGTTGTTATTATACAATGGCATTAATTAAGTTAGGAATGCAATATATCAAAATGCTAATATAAATGCCAAAAAAGAAAAAGCGTAAAAGCAAAGAAAGACCAATGCCGGAAATTAAATATCGGAAAGACACAACGGAAAGCGTTAAAACCATAGGTGTAAGTAAAGGAATCAAACGTGATAAACGTAATCATAAGATGAACTTTCAATTGAATTAAGAGTAGAAAGAAAGGTGGTATAAATATTAAATGTATCCCGTGTCTGCTTTCAGTGAAGAAGAAAGACCAAGAAATGAGCGTACCAAAGAAGAAAGACGGAGATATGACAATACAAACAAACGAACGTTTAGTAAATGTTAGTTTTAATAGAACGATAACATAATAAAATTGTTTGTACAATTATTCATGATGCAAAATACTATAAATAAATTTGAATTCATTGCTGTATACACTTTGCGTTCGAATGACTTATGAAATGTGAAATATGATATTTTGCAAAATAAAAACTTTAGTTGTATTTTCTACATTATTGTATCATGGACAAAGATTTGAAAGCATTGTTTGATAAATTGGATATGGCGATGATACAAAATAAGAGCATATTAGAAGTCCTAACTGCAATGGAAACCAGCTTCAAAGTTCATTGACAAAAACAGCACTGAATACAAACATAAGAAACAGGTCTATCTAAATAAACTAAATAATAAAGAGATAAAAGAGCCGAAGCCCTCCACTATGGCATTTTAGCAAATTGACTATGATGAAGATACAGGGGTTTTATTCTTGAAGGGGGTTAAAGGGTAGATACCCAATTGACTAATGACCGGCTCAGTAGAATCTAAATGCACAACATGCAACATAACCAAGAAGGTAGAAGAGTTCGGAAATAAAAAAGATAACAGTCTGTATCAAAACTGCGCAGAATGTAGAAAGGAAAGAAAGGAGCAAAACGCAAACCAACAGAAGCCAAGTCCAGAACAACACGAGAAGAAAGTTATTGATCTAAAACAATTACAGCAAGACACTTCAATTTACACTGTAGACAATTCGCTATATGATGGTTTTATGATCAGCCAATAAATAAAGAAAGATACATATTATTGAGATTGCACAAGCACAATCAGCACAACAAGAAGAAGAAAAACAGCAATATCTCGCACTTGAAATGCACAAATTGAAACCTTTAATACCTCAATTTTACTTTAATCACAACATGTAAGACTTCATATGTTGTTAGTAGAATGATACAAATAGTTCAACGAATATATTTCTGAAAAGCAATCTTAAAGAAATATTACCTTAACTTACTAGATGATGAGTAACACAGAAGGTGATGTTAGGGGTACAGAAAGTGAATGCTATGAGTCTGAAATGATACCAACAATAACAGTCAATAACTGTATGAGTTATAAGTGTAGAGATTGTTCTTTACTAGAACCAACAATTAAACATGGGTTTTCAGATGGTGTTTCAATTGATCTGTGTGAATGTATATATAACATGTGATAAATGTTCAACAGTAATCAATGCTATTCAAATCATAATTCTAAGTGGGAGTGTAGCACTGTTAATATTAGTAAACATGCACTTGATGAAGATTTGGAGATTCGTATTTCTTGAAACGAATTAATTCTTGACTGTAGAAGAGTTTGCTAATTTGTTATATACTGGTGACAATGATGGAGATGATAACGATTTTACTTTTAAATATTATGGTATTGTACAACGATTATGGTATTTTTCAATATTAAAATATTAAAATATGAAGCATGTAATGATAATGACTTTGATTTTTTGCAATGCACGTATAATTTAAGTGAGCTTAACTATACAGTACAAAGAGCAATTAGAACATTGGGCTGGTTTACAAAGGAAATAAGAAATACTATTTACAAAGAAAACAAGCAACAAAGTAATAAAAAGGATTAAACGGAATTTTGTTTATAATTCCCCAAACAGCGAAGCATTGGGGTTCTAACTTGAGGTATAGAGAATAGGAAAGTGTGACGCCGATTCCGGGGTCCTGTTTTCCGCTTGTCTTCCTGTCTCCCAGTCTCTCCGCTCAGATGCCAGATGCTGTGACGCTGGCTCCAGGGTCGTGTCTCCCGCTTGTCTCGCTGTGTCTCCCAGTCTTTGCGGTCAGATGCCAGATGCTGTGACGCGGGCTCCGGGGTCGTGTCTCCCGCTTGTCTCCCTGTGTCTGGATGCCAGACGCTGGCTCCGGGGTTGTGTCTCCCGCTTGTCGCCCTGTGTCTCCCATCTCCCGTTTTTTGTGATGCTGGCTCCGGGTCGTGTCTCCCGCTTGTCCCCCTGTGTCTCCCAGTCTCTGCGGTCGGATGCCAGATGCTGTGACGCTGGCTCCGGGGTCGTGTCTCCCGCTTGTCTCCCAGTCTCTGCGGTCGGATGCCAGGTCGTGTCTCCTGCTTGTCTCCCTGTGTCTCCGAGTCTCTGCGGTCGGATGCTAGATGCTGTGACGTGTCTCCCTGATGCCAGATGCTCTCCCACTCTCTGCGGTCACTGGCTCCAGCATAATATCTCCCGCTTGTCGCCCTGTGTCTCCCAGTCTGTGCGGTCGGATGCCGGCTCCGGGGTCGTGTCTCCTGCTTGTCTCCCAGTCTATGCGGTCAGATGCCAGATGCTGTGATGTTGTTGTGTCTCCTGCTTGTCTTGCAGTCTGCGGTCGGATGCCAGCGGGCTCAGGGCTCGTGTCTCCCCCAGATTCTGTAGATGCTGTGACGCTGGCTCCAGGGTCCGCTTGTCTCCCTGTGTCTCCCCCTACTTTTGTGATGCTGGCTCCGGGGTCGTGTCTCCCGCTTGTCTCCCAGTCTCTGCGGTCGGATGCCAGATGCTGTGGACGGCTACCCTGACCCTGGCAGTGAACCTCTGGAACATCGTGCGCACCTACTAACTGACCAGCTCCTCTTCGCCTGCTGGTATCGCCTCAGCACGTCCTCCAACTTCGTGGTGCACGTGTCCGAGGCCGACAACGCTGTGACTCCCCCCTGTTTCTCCCAGTCTCTGCGCTCGTTGCTGCCAGCTGGCTGTTTTCCTGCTTACAGCCCTCAACAGGAAAAATGAAGCTTTCGGGCAAAACCAACTGAACCTGTTTCTTGCTTGGCATCCAGTAACCGGCGTTCGGCTCCCCTCGGCTCCCTTCGGCTCACGTGGCAGCAGCTCGCAAGCGCAATTGAGAAGCATCAAGCTAGAAACATAGATTCGACAAGTCAGCAGGAACCGCTTGCAACAATGTTTCGCAACGGGGAAAGGGCATGTCGCAGATTTTGCTGATAGCCTGCGTGCAAAGGATGTGCCTCTCTCTTGGCCAAGTGCAGGTTTGCATCCTTGTGGAGCAGCGTTGGAGCTAGAAACAAGCAATGTCGAGCCTTATTTTCTTGTCGTTAAACAAACAAATCGTGACATCCGGCTGATTGCTTTGCTCAGGAAACTGAGCTGCTTTTTAAAAGCCGGTGCCGCACTCTTGGTCAAGTGCAGGTTTGCATCCTTGTGGCGCACCAGCAGGGCCCTGTCGAGGCTTTAATATGTCTATGTTTCTCTCGATAGAAAACAAATATATAGTGACATCCGGCTGATTGCTTTTTGGAAGCCAGTGCCGCACTTCTTGGTCAAGTGCAGGTTTGCATCCTTGTGGCGCATCAGCAGAGCCCTGTCGAGCCTTAAATATGTAGACTGGTTTCAATAGACAAATTCGGCTGATACTGAGCTGCTTTTTGGAAGCCAGCGCCGCACCAAGTGCAAGTTTGCATCCTTGTGGCGCATCAGCAGAGCCCTGTCGAGCCTTAAATGTGTCCATTTTGTTCTCGGTAACCAAATAGACATCAGCATGATTGCTTTGCTCAGGATTCTGAGCTGCTTTTTGGAAGCCAGTGCCGCACTTCTTGGCCAAGTGCAAGTTTGCATCCTTGTGTGGCGCATCACCAAAGCCCTGTCGAGCCTTAAGTGTGTCCATTTTGTTCTCGATAAACAATTACTTTGCTGAGGATTCTGAGCTGCTTTTTGGAAGCGCCGCACTTGTTCGTCAAGTGCAGGTTTGCACTCCGGCGCATCAGCAGAGCCCTGCCGAGTCTTAAATATGTACTGTTGTTCTCGATAAACAAGTACCGTGGCATTCGCCTGATTGCTTTGCTCAGGATTCTGAGCTGCATTTTGGAAGCCAGTCCCGCACTTCTTGGTCAAGTGCAGGTTTGCATCCTTCTAGCGCATGAGCAGAGCCCTGTCGAGCCTTAAATGTGTCTGTGTTCTCGACAAGCAAATATTCTGGAACATCCGGCTGATTGCTTTGCTCAGGATACTGAGCTGCTTTTTGGAAGCCAGTGCCGCGCTTCTTGGTCAAGTGCAGGCTTGCATCCTTCTGGAGTCCTTCTGGCGCATCAGCAGAGCCCAGCCAAGTGGCCGTAACTGGCTGGTTTGCATCCTTGTGGCGCATCAGCAGAGCCCAGCCAAGTGGCCGTAACTGGCTGGTTTGCATCCTTGTGGCGCATCAGCGGAGCCCAGCCAAGTGGCCTTAACTGACTGGTTTGCATCCTTGTGGCGCATCAGCAGAGCCCAGCCAAGTGGCCAGAGGGCTTGTGCGGGTCAGCCACCGTCTTAGCCAAAATCGTATGAAGCGGCGCTGCAGGAAAGACCTCCAGCGCATAACCCCAGCAAGTTGCACAAGCAAGTTGCGTTAGCAAGTAGCACTAGCGATAGCACTAGCGAGTTGCACGGGCAAAATGCCACTAGCAAAATGGCGCAAGCCAGTAGCACGAGCAAGATAGCGCTAGCGACGTGCACGAGCCAGTAGCGCTAGCCAGTGGCACTAGCAAGTAGCACCAGCAAGTGGCGCTAGAAGTTGCAGCGGCAAGCGCTGCGCGCAGAGAGCTTGTCATTGAAACTTGTTCAGAGAAACTTGCTGAGAGAACTTGCTCAAATAATTTGTGCCAAGAACTTGCTTGGAGAACTTGCTCAAAGGAACTCGCGCCAACAACTTGCTCAGAGGAACTTGCGCAGAGAACTTGCTAGGATTACTTGGCGCCGTGCGCTGCTCATGCTTTCGGGCCACCCATCTTCTAGTCTCCTCTTGGTAGCATCACTGTAGTTCGAGCACCCTTTCTTGTTGGCTGTGCTGTTGCAAGCCTTGCCTCCTATCTTGTTGCCAGTATTTAGCACCCTCTCAGTTGGATAGCCATGTGGCCCGGCCAAAATCATGTCCAGTCTTTCGCAGGTCCTGCGACGCTTTGTCCTCATTGCAACCTATGTAATCCAGTCCCACTGACAAACGCATTTTGCTGAAGCGTTTTACATTTTTGTGATGGGAAGGTCGGAGCTTTGACATATCTCGTTGCCTCCTGACAGAAGGGTTGAAAACAGATTTCTCAGCGGACCCATGGACCCATGGAACACCAAAGGGGTCAACGTGAGCTGTATTGCATTACCCTTGTGCTAGCCTCCCGCAGTGGGTATTTTTGGAAATCCGAGCAATTCCATTTCATTCTTGCAATCAACGTTCTTTTCCGAGATCTCGACTTGAATTTGGCAGCTCCGGGCGAGATTCTGATTTACTTGCTCGCAGCATACGTGGCTTGTCGGGAAACCAAGCTGGAGGGATGTGCTGATAGCATCAAGACCAACACATGCTACAGACACATGGTCCATCCATTTCTTCTTTGACGACACAGCTTCGCCTCCACTACATCGATTCCGACCCCTTCAAGCAAAAGGTTTCGGTGCTGGACACTCTGCGTGCGTTTCGAACTGCCCAGCAACATTACGGAATGGCGGCTCTGGTGCTCAATGTGGCGATTGCAACAAGGACACACGGTCATGGCCATGTTTCGACACATGTTCGGTGGCTGTATAGTCTATAATAAGAGTTGCTAACACCGCCGCCGTGTTTGATGGTTTCTTTTTTGGGGCCATCAACAAGAGCCGTTTCGCCAATCGCAGAGTGGCTTGGTGGTTTCCTGGTTACTTGCTCTTGGAGATCTTGTGCTATCGCAGAGAGGGACGAGCGAACACACAGTCAAGCAGGCGTGCTTATCTTCTTGTTGCATCGTAACGGGGGGTCCGAGCTCCAAGGTATTTTCTGACCGGTTTCCAGAAAGAATGGTCCTGGACGTAAAGCCTGTGTGAGTCGGGTCCCCAACCAAACCATTAGCTTGTAAGAGTTGTTCGCATCGTCCCTGCGCTTGTCGAGCTCTCCTCGAAAAACTTGGTTGATGCATAGGAGCGTTTTCCTGGCAACCTACTTCGCTGACCTTGACAACTTGGAGAGAGTTCATGAGCCCGGCCAGTTGATTACTGTGCTGCTGGAGCTGAGTGAACGCGAGGCCCAGACATTGTTGCCAGCGGCGTGCAGACATGCAAAGCCAAGCTTGTTCCGGAATGGAGCGGCGTTGGGCGCATGGAGCAAAGCCATCTTGGGAGCATGCGGCGCGCTGGGCACGACAGAGATGAAGACTCTGGATGACCAAGCTACTGCCGGCTCAAACACTGAGGATTTTCTGGAGCTGCGCCGGGTGACAGAGGTGCGCGCCAAACCGGCACGTTTGCTGACGCTTGCCAATTTGGCGCGGCGTGTGTCTGCGTTGCTAGGCGAGGATGTCCCGGCCGTAACGCTACAGGGCGCAGTCTGCAAGTTTATGCAAGTGCTTTCTTGCTTTGCTTGTGGCAAGACCTTTAGCCGAGCTCGAGAAGAAGATAGCAACCAGAAGTGACATGTGTCCAGTCTCGGCCGCAGGCTGCTGAGACTGATGCGCAAGTTTCAGCAGAGTAGCGAGACGGCCACCAAATTCTGCGGTGATGGAAAAGTGCATTGAGTGTCCGTACTACGAAAGTTCCTTCGAAACTTCCTTTGATTAATGCCAGGTGTTAGGTTGATTCACCCCGAATCCCCGGGGCCTTCACTCTCGAACATGGCATTGACATGGATTTTTCCCCTCGAAGGTCGATGAACTACCCGGCGTAAAGGAGATGAATGGACCCGATGTGTCCTCATCCCAAAAAAAGGAACTTCCTGCAGGGACATACATGGACTGATTGTAATTAATTATGTGTTGCTCACATAAGCTACACAAGTTCGCACCTTACATCAAGGGTACAAGCCTTTTTTTGGGCTATGCAGACTGGTCATGTTTTTTTTGCTGTTTGGGGTCGAGGCTGGTGTAATATTTAAATTGATTATGGTTTTGCTATAATTTCAACATGTTTGATTTGTTTGTGTTGTGATTATAGTATACTTTTAGTACATAAGCTGTGGTGGTGACTATCTACCTAAGCCTTGCCCATCCGCATATTGCCATCCATATTTACTGGGATTGTTGACATGATTTGAGTTAGCCCTTATGGTTTCCTGTCTCCGTTGGTTAACCACTTTTCGGGGAGAGACAATTGGGTGAAAATAGGGTCGTTTTGGTGGGCGTATTTGCATTGTGCCAAAAAGTGTGGGGGGCACCCAATGGCTGGATGGCAATATGCGGAGGGGCAAGGCCTAGTCTAACTATATGTTGATTACTGTTTATGGACTCTGGCTCAGGCAAGCGGTCTCAGCTTGCTCTCGAGGACAGACAGTGTGTGGGCCATGTGCCCTCTTTGCTCAGGGATCCTGACCGAAGTGGTTGGACTTGAGTTTGCATGATGTAAACACGTTGCCGGGATATATAAGCCAGTACTCAGCTCGGAAAATCATTTGATCAGGTTAGTTTATTGCTCGGTTTTTGTTTGATTGAACGTGTCCTCGAAATTGAACTCGAGATGGTGCGTTTCGGCGGATACAGGGCAGATTTGAACGGGCGTGTCGGTTTTGAGGAAACCTCCTTGGGGTTGGTCGGTAAAGGGAGACCAAGAGGAAAATCAACCATTTTTAGCCCCCTATTGTTTTGAGACACATCGACATCTAATTTCTAGACTCACAGTGTTTCTTGTTGATCTAGTTTCCAGCATACTTTCAATCCTGACAGGTCTACAGTGTCTACAGCTACAATTTTACTGAGCTGTTTGAACTTTTCAGCTGACTAATTGTATTGACGCATGAATTGAAACAGGTTGGCCCTGTCTCCAAAACATCAAGCCCCCCTTTGCTGGATGAAGTCTCAAGGAACGGTGTGTACATCTCCCACAAGGATGACAAGTGATCATAGTTTCTGATGACATCACCTGCAAAGACCATTGCTGACGACAGCACCTGCAAAAACCTACCATTTGGGTGAAGATATGATGTTTTCTGAAGGAAGCTTTTGAATCCATTTGGGCGGGATCCCTCTGCTTTTGAGCGATGTTGTTGATGCCCCGCTTGCTTTCAACAGGAGATTCTCCTGGCATCCGTGGGCGTCAGGCGAATTGGCGGTTTTGCGGTACCCGGTTTTGGAAAGCAAAAGGAAAGCCACCTTTTTCGGGGGCCCCGATTTATGAAGAAAGACATCGACATGCTAGCCTCAGGCTTTGCGACCTCTTGGCAATCATGGCGACCTAAGGTGTTCCGGTTTGGGAGTCTGTTAGAAGTTGGAAGTGCTGTAGTGGGGGCTCACCTGCCCATAGAACCTGGGAATACACAGTTTGCTTTTGAGACCTTGACTACCTGAAAGACCCGGTCAACTCGCTTTGGGAGCCAGAAATGGGAGGAAGTGTGGGGAATCTGGGTGAAAAGGCAAGCATCTTCTGAAACCAGGTGGTTTCCCAAGAAAGGAACCGTGAGTGCGAGCGGAAGCTGCTCTTTGGGGACCCTTTTCTTTGGGGCCTGCAGGTGAATGTGCAGGCTTTACACGGATCCCCTGAATGTTGCAAGTCAACCACTCAACAATTATGGCAACAGCTGCGGTTTTCCTTGTTGCCTAAATACTTGGGATCAGCCGTTCCACCAAATTCTGTGGATTTTGGAAGCATGAAGCTTACCACTACTATCCAGGGTATGTCCTGCCTTGCAAACTTACATTGGCGGTGTTTAAACCAAAGCCCATATCTCCAAACCCATACCCAACTCAGATAGATCGCCAGGCCAAAGAGATGTCGCCCAGCGACCAGCATCTCAGATGCAGCCATTGGGTTTTGCATGAAACCCATTGTTTTTGTTTGTTTCTTAAAAATATGCCAATGGTCGGTCCTTTTGACACCCCCAATGCCAAATCACTTTCTCGAGGTCAACTGCGGTCCGGAGGTGCCACGGCATTTGCTTTCAAAGAAACACTGTTGTGCGAAGGTATATTCATCATATTCCATATTTGCCAGGGGGATTCGCCCCAAGACGTTATTGACACTAAAGCTAAAAGGCATTTGAGGAAATTTAGCGGAGGGATACCAAGGTACCCCTGACCAGCTTACACCGCACCCTTGTACTGGATATCCGTTTGTGACGTGCTTATTCTCGTTCTGCGTGTACTTTTTTGGGTGTGGCTGTGTCCTCTTTTTTTTTGATACGGTTGATCTTTAAGTGACATATGGTGCCCTTTTGATCTTTTGATCAAGTCATGAGCTTTCATATGTTGTGTGATTGATGATTTGTTTCTAGTTGTTCCCGCGGGCCAGTGGGTCTCCAGCCTGGGCTTTTTTGAACGGAACGGCTAGTTTCCGCGTTGGCCAATTTAAACGAGCAGTCGAGCAAACCAGCAAGTTACAACAATTGTCATTGTCAAACCAGAGCTCAAGAAGCAGGCACACACGCAATAGCCAACAGAACACGACCTAATCCTACTAATGCACCTACTCCAGTACCTACTAATGATCCAACACCTGCACCAACTAATGTACCAAGTAAAGCTCCAACTGATGGACCTTCTTTGTTGGCCACTTTCATATATTTTTGAGCTTCACCTGGAACTTTAGTGAATATACCAGCGCAACATTTATAAAACCATGAATTTTGTACGCATATCAAAACAACACACACCCATCAAACCGAGAAACACACTATCGGATGAAACAACATGCAGCTCAGGCTTGCCGATGCATCGACCAGCTTTTCTTCCGCAGGCGTGGTTGGCCTGGCTTTTCTCATTAGCCTGTCACACTGACCTGCTTCCCTGCAAAAATCCTCAAACAGCTCTAAGATGCTGACAACGCAACCATGGGTTCCTCAAGATGTCAGAACAAGTACCATGATCCATTTTGAGCATCACGGATAGGTGATTCTGTTCTTCCAGGCACCCAATGAACACCTATCCACCCGCTCGCTCACCCGCCCAACTTGCACATTCTCAGTCAGGCATTATCGCGGGCCAACCATCTACCAGAGAAGTGGCAGGTTCAATTTGTGGGTCGATGTTCGCATAGCCTTCGAGAAGCCACTAGGCTGGAGCGGCTAGGTCTGTTTTGGGGAACAGGGGGAGGAGGAGTGGGGATAGGGGAGGGGGTGGTGAATCCTGTGAATAGTCCTTTGTACCCAACTTTCGCCTAAATCGAATGTCATTGCAGCAGATCTCACCTCACGTGTGGTGATCTGGGTGTTTTCTAAATTCGGTACCCGGTGCCCTGTGTTTAGCACCACCCCCCAAAACCCAAAAGAGGTGAGGCCCCCCCTGAGACCTGGGGCTGGGAAACGCAGAGATCCCCGACCGTCGGCTTCCCGCGAGGCCTCACCTCGGACTTCACCAACTCCCCGGGCGAGGCTGAGGCCCAATCAGGGCCCCGAGCCTCGTAAGGGCCACATCGCAAGTCGGTAGAAAGACGAGCCTTGCTCCTTGGCTTTTTGCATTATTTTATGACATTGTCAATAAGGAGTTGTTCTTTTTGGTTGTTTTGGTTGAGAAGTGTTCTTGTTTTAGTTTTGCTGGTTGTGTTGGTGAAGGTTTTTGTGGCTTCCGACCTGTCCCACATAGCAGGTAGACCATTGTACCAGGGGTTGTCTGGAATTTCCCCAAGGTTGCCCTCGAGAATGGTTTTGGGGGTGTATATATGTTCTAGGCCGTGGACCCCCCCCCTCCCCCTCCCCCCTCCGCCCCTCTGGTTGGGTGGGTGGTTGGGGTGTGGTTTGGGCTTGATTAGGGTTGGTTGGTTTAAAGTGGGTTTAGGTGGGTGTTGGGTTGGTTTGGGTTTTTTTAGGGTTGGTTCAAGGTTGATTTAGGGTTGGTGTAGGGTGCGAGTTGAGGGGCTCAAACAGGGGGTCTGGGGACTGTAGCAGCGGGGTGTGGGCATCCGTGGTTGGGCGGGCGGGGGGGGGACCCTACCCTTGGGGGGTGGGGGTTGGTGGCTTGGGGACTGGAACATATATGTTTCCCTTAGCAGAAGATCTCATCAAGAAGAAAACAGGATTTTCAAAGGTCTCCCTGCAAGTTTCGTGTTGGGAAATGCGATCTGTGTGTTTTGGTGAGACAGTCGCGGCACACATGTTGGGCGTGGTGATTTGCATGGTTCGGGGTCAAGATCAACCCATTTAGGCATGTCAGGGCTGATCAGAGTTGATTGGGAATAGGCAAGCACACACTTTGGCATGAACTCACAATGTAGAATCAGCTGAACCTCAGCTGAAAGTGTTACTAATCCTGACCCATCAACCATGCATATGTGCTAACAGCAGTCTTCAAGAATTCGACCGTAAGGATGGTTGCAGATTCCGCATCATGAGTCATATGTTTGGGTGACTCCAATTCACGGCGGTGCCAGGCCGAGTATTCGACCTTCAGCGCAGTCGATTGGCTCCTGGGACGCACAATGTCCCGGTTGGATTTCGCGTCAACGTGCCACCCAGGTTGGTTTGATCGGCTAGCGCCCTTGAAAAGATCACGTTAAACCCTGAAAACACATTCTTGTAGAGACATCTCTGCAGGCGGGCCCTTTGCTGCAGTTCCATGAGTTTTCATGTGGCAGTGGCAATAATGAACGATTTGCTAAGGGACATGTCCTTTTGTGTACCGGGAAATGATCGATGTCATTGCTCCTCAGGTCATTTAATTTTCTATGCGCAAGTCACTTATGCGGCCAGGGAAAGTTGGTTTCATATGATTCTGTTTCTTTTGAGGGGAACCCGTTTCAGGTTGGTTCAAAGGGAACCAAAAGGAAAGTCAGCCATAGGGGTTGTTGCCCTATGACACATACCCAAGCCTTACCTAATGATGATTAGGCCCCCAAATGTGCTGACAGCAAGCCCATCCAGGCGTCCGATGTTGTTATCTACGTCTTACTAGGGCAGCAGATTCATAAGCCAGGGCTCGAATATGTAAAAGTACATTTGTAAGCATGATATTGATATGGCTATGAACCTTGATAGGAAACAACCTGCAGAATGGTTGATGGACATGAATCCCAATCAACACGATGTCCACCACAGGGTCCCCTATTAAAATTGACACCAGCAGAAGGGGTGACCATACATATATATATATATATATATGGGTTTGTCTTTTTTTGGTGTGTTGAGTTGCTTCAAAAGGCAGAAGGTGGGACCTCCCCGAATCATACCCCCGAATCATACCCCCGAATCATACCCCGAATCATACCCCCGAATCATACCCCTTAAAACGTATGCTGCAAGATGCTAATGTTCTTCTACCGTTTTGTGTTGTTCACTGTCTCCACAACAACCACCACCAGCGCTACCCAATACTACCACTACCACTGCCACTACTACTACTACTACTACTGCTACTACTACTACTACTACTACTACTCCAATGACTACTACTACTGCTACTACCACCACTACCTCTACTTCTACTGCTACTACCGCGACTACGAGTATTACTACCACTACCACCGCTACCACCGCTGCTACTACTACTCTACTGCTACCCGTACTACTAACTACTACGACTACAACCTTGACTACTACTACTACTACGACTACTACCTTTATTACTACTACTACTACTACTACTACTACTACTACTACTACGACTACAACCTTGACTACTACTATTACTACTACTACTACTGCTGCTGCTACTACTACTACTTCTACTACTACTATTGCTGCTTCTGGTCTGTAATCAGTGCCGTTTTGCACCTAGCCGAATCATACCCGCGAATCATACCCGAATCATACCCGGACAATGAGCTTCCCCTGCCAAGGCTAGTGCCAAGTCGTTTTCACAGCGTCCGCACCACTACAGCCGCTGCTGCTTATGCCACAGCTGCTACCACTACTTCTGTACTACCACTACTACTGCTACTACTGCTACTACTACTACTACTACTACTACCACAGCTACTACGAGTTTGCAATCAGTCCCGTTTTGCACCTAGCCGAATCATACCCGCGAATCATACCCGAATCATACCCGCGCAATGAACTTGCCTTGCCAAGTCCAGCGCCAAGTCTTTTCAAAGCTTCCGCGCCACTACAGTCGCTGCTTCTACTCTGACTACTACTACTACTACTACTACGACTACTAGTACTACTACTACTACTACTACTACTACTACTACTACTACTACTACTACTACTACTACTACTACTGCTACTACTACTACTACTACTACTACTACTACTACTACTACTACTACTACTACTACTACTACTACTACTACTACTACTACTACTACTACTACTACTACTACTACTACTACTACTACTACTACTACTACTACTACTACTACTACTACTACTACTACTATTGTTACTACTACAATATTGCTACTAGTACTACTACTTCGGCGACTACTGCTACTACTACTAGTGCTGCTGCTGCTGCTTCCGCGAATCATACCCCCGAATCATACCCCGAATCATACCCGCGAATCATACCTGCGAATCATACCCCGTACTCAAACCTTCCTGCCCGGCCACCCTAAAAAAATACAAACCCATATATATATATACATAGGTGTTCGATACGTTCGTCAGTTCAGACACCCAGTTCACCTTTGCATCTCACATTGTGAAAACACCTTAGGTCGCTTTTGTGTCCTCTCAGTCAGCCGTCTTCGGTTTCCACCAGCCGCTGCCAGGCAGGAGGCTTCCCCGAGCTTCGCCCGCTTCGCCCGCCGCCGGCCCTAGCAACCGGTCGGGCTCGACCTAAGGAAAAGCATAGCTAGGTGCCCCAGCTAGGTGCCCTTGTTGAATCCCTTTTTTTGGTTGGGAGGGTTCCCCTACTAAAATAGACTACAGAAACAAGTTGGTAACCTGGTACCCTTATTCTAACCTCTCTACTGGAGGACCTAGATATGGTGGAGCGAGCATCGAAATCTTGGAACCAAAGGTCAAGGTGTCGGGCACTCGCAGAATGTGCCCTCCAATTGGGCGTGCCCTTCTGCGAGTTGGCACCCTTTGTTGGGGTAGTGTTTTGTGGTGAAAGAGGACACCTCCCATTTTGGGGAGCTGACATAGCTTGTATTTTGATGTTACATGTTCACTGAAGATGGGCCACAATCTGAACTCCGTTTGCAGGGGAGGGGGAAAAGACAGAGGGAATATTCCCCGAGATTGATTTACATATGTTGATGACCTTATTGATCTACACGGATCGTATATTGGCAAGCCATGGTTGCTGTGAGTCGATGGAATGGTTGCTCTTTGAACAGAAAAGTCGTGGTTTTTGTTTGCATTCTGTGCTACATATATATATATATATACGTACACATACACCATTGTGCAGAGAAACGGCAACATGAAAGCATCATGGGAGAGGCCAGGCGTTGGCTTTCCGTTTGCCGCCTCATTGAAGCCCAGAATCATGTGAGCCACGTGCTCAAAACCGATTCGGGTAGATCAAGGTTCGAAAGGGACGATCCCAGCCATAAATGGGGTGCGGCCGCCTTGACAATCATTTACATGCTGGGTAGGCCACTTTAATACCGGCCATTCAAGTCATTCAAGGGACAAACACGCGGCACCACGGCTGAGAGCAGGCTCGCTCTTCCATCAAGTACATGTTGCAATCACCTCCGCAACACCTGCTGGCGGAGTTGTCCCAGAAAAGAGGAGGGAAGTGCGCAGGAGTGTTTTAGAAGAGAAGAAATAATCTTAAATGAGTTCTCCTGTCACATGTCCGCCATGGATTGTTGAGAGTCGATCTGTTTCTATAGAGGGCCATTTCTATCAACTAGTTGTTTGCTTTGTTTGTCCACATGTCTTGTTTTTGGATGTCAACGCGGCTGTTTTCTGCTACTTGCCTCAAGTTTATTCAGAGAGAACGGGCGACACCTTCGGCCCCAGGCTCTGGGCAAAAGGCGTGCCGGGTGCAGGGGGGGTTTGCATTGGGACATTCATGGCCGAAATCCTGCACCAGTTGATAGGCCTTCCACCGCTTTAGTGGTTCCAGCCGCCCGGCTCCTTACATTTTTAGGGTTTAGTTGGTGTAGTGGGGGGTTCTGTTTCACCCACCAAAAGCTAAACTTTAGCAGGGGATTTGAGGACAGCCCAGTGCCCCTTGTTTACAGGGTTTCATCCATCCCAGACAGTGCAGGATTTCGTTCATCCACAGCCGGTATTTCCCGGAGGGTCTGGAAAACATAGACCACTTGCATCCACCCTGTTTCCAGGACATGAGAAGCGAGTGGTTGCGACTTAGCCAAACACTGGAGATTCTGAGAAAGGGGTCCCTTGCATACAGCTCCTGCACACAAAGGGTTTTTGAGCATTTCCCAGGGGCAAGGCAAACTGCACGTATTGGTTTGCAAGGGTGCTTGACTGAAGACATGCAGTATGCAGTGTTTGCTTGCGGCTTGCGGGCACACAAACAAACACGGCCTTCTGGACAACTGATGAACCACCCCGTGCTGCTTGCATGTCCGAGAAGGATGCCTTCTTCTGTCTCATATAAACCCTCTTGTACCATGCGTTGTTTTATGCTGGATGCTTGACGTTGGTGAGATGCTCCGGCGTTTCAAAGGTGGCCAACATGCACAGGCCTGGCTTGATTGACCCGCCATGCATTGCCAAGTGAGGCACGCTCGCTGGAGAGGGCAAGGACCCGGGCGCACCTCAGATCAACCATGTTTGAAGCAATGCATGGCGCCCTGAAACTAAGCAGGGTCTGACACAGGGTCCAACACCGCTTGCAGAACGTGTGTAGCATCCGCCTGGAATCCATTGAATCGCCCATTCGCTGGGACCTATTCAGGGTCACCAAACTGTTGTCAAACTGGTTTGACCATGTTGATGGGAGCAAACCGTAGACAGTGTTGGGTCTCACAAGCCGAGGTTTTCTCAGCGCTCCTTTGGTTTCCCTCATTGGTAGTATTACAATGTTACATCACCTCTCCTCTCTAGGAGAGGTGATGTCTCTGGAATCTGCGAGTCTTAAGGCCAGGGATTTCCCGTGCGAAGTTAGTGACTCCATGGTGTTGAATGGGTTGCCCTGTGGTCAAGGCACCCTACGGATTACGTAGCGCTGGACAAGTTGTTGATTGGCAACACGTTTGAACAAGGGGGTTGTCCCAACCCTGCCGTGCTCTAGGTTCCTGCGCCAACAAACACAGGTTGTGGTCGAAAACGGGTGCTTCCGCCTTTGGCAGGAGGGACTGGAGACCTAAGGGCTTTGCAAACCACGCAGAGGCGACGGGCGAAGTTGGGCGGGTTCGGGACCCCAAGTTGCAACCCGTGATTTGTTCGCCTTATTTTAGGAAGCCTCCCACCAAAGGGAAGCCCCCTGGGTCTAAGTCTTTCTTGGCATCATGGAGCTCAGCAAAGGACAAGCCACTGGGCAAGTGAGGTTTCAGTCGACCCCAGTGTTGGAAGCAGGCTTTGTCCCAGCAATACTCCATACTCCTTCACAGTATGTGCATGTGGAGCCCAGCGTCTAAAGGCTATTAGGACGCTTGAAGCACAGGACATGGTGTCAGAACTTGTTTGTCCAGGTTGGCACGCTCATGGTTTCCATTTCATCCAGCCGGAGCAATCAACTCTCTACTGGTAGCTTTAGCTTTTCAGCTTGTTTGCTCTTTGGTATGATCGCAAGTGTCTGAGCTTCAAGCAGAGACTCCGCTCAACAGTAAGGCAGTTTATTTCTTACAAAAGCAGCAAACACGCATTTGCTGGACGGCTGAAAGACCACGGCGTTCCTATTGACCGGGAGAGTCCTTTGGACGCTTTCCAGACTCCTTGGAGCCTGTGCAGCCAAAAGCGGGACCATATGGCTGTGGCTCAAACATATTTGTACCAAAATGCCAAAATGGCACCCTTGGCAAATGGAACCAAAGTCTAAGCGCTGCGTAACCACACCGAGGTCAGCTCCACACCGAGGTCAGCTCAGCTCGGTCAGCGGGTCGGTGAGTGCATCCCAGGCCCAGTGGCCTGGCATCCACTCCGTGCCTGTGCCCGGCGTCCAGCTCAGAGACGAGTCGGAGTCGTGATGGGACCTGCAACCGGACATCGGTAGGAGGTTCGTCCTTGGGACGAATCAGGAACCGAACTTAGGTTACAATGCCCAACAAGTTGTTAGTTTTTTGCGGGTCTAAGCCTGACCCAGTCTCAACTCGAACGAACCCAGGCTAGATGTTGTTCATCTCAACAGCGTGTTCATAATCCTTCAGAACTTCGATCAGAAGCCGCTTCTGGAGCAAAGCTTTGTATTCCCTAGAGTCCGGCTGCTTGTGTTCCAGAGTTGCTTCCGTCCGCTTTATTTGTTGGTCTTATTTGTTTATCATGTGTACCGGATTTGGGATGCGAAGGTCAGGTCACGCCCGATGATTTGTGTTACTTATTGAGGCAACAGTTGAGCACGACCAACAAAGCATGGCCCATGGGAGCAACAGACAATGATAATTACTTGAAGCCTAGGTTGGAGATGATTGGACCGACCAAGAATGGGGTTGTTTTCTCCATTGACATCATCCACCGCTAGCTTTACTAGTGGGTGGGAAAAACAAAGTCCAAAATCTGTGCTTCATTCAGGGAGGACGATGTTCCCTCTTTGCCCACAAGGGGCGGGGCCGCCCAAAGGAACAACTATAGTAGGTGATACGGCTGTTGCTCATGTGGGAAGGAAGGCGCGTATCAAGTTGATAGCAGCGCCTCATCCACTTCAGATACATGTAGATTCAGATGGAACCAACAAAGATCAGTAAAATCTAGTAGAAACGGATCCAGAAGCAGGTGCTGAACAACTGGGCTACAGCTGGAAGCATTCAGAGAAAGGAGGTAACGGTTCTACGAAAACACTCATGTAGACCCTGGATGCAGTGGCGGGTTCACAGGGAGTGGTGTCACCTAAAAGCGATTTGAATCTCTGCTCTTTTCATATGTGTCGGGGTCACACCTCCCCCCCCCCCAATCAGCATCCCAAGGGCCCACTTGGCGAAATGAGAACTTGGCCCTTAGGCCGCCTCCAAAATGACATCCGGACCAACACACTACGATCCCCCGGAGAGCTGGACCCTTTCCTGTCAGCGCCCGGACAGGCACAAGGCGAATACAGGGGAATCGTGTTAGTATCTTTCTAAAGGTGGCCACTTCCAAAAATTGTTTCTCCTGTGTGATTATTGGCTACAACTGTACGAACACCACATCTCTGTGGTTGCCACTTCACTTGGTGGTTCCAGCCAGCCGGTTCCTTCGCTTTTTAGCCTGTTAGTGTTTAGTGGTACAATTCCAGTTAACCCACCAAAAGTTAGTAAAACTTTTTGCGGGGGATCTGGGGACAGCCCAGTTAAGTCACCTCAGCTGGGACAAGCTCGGCGTCCCAGGCTGCTTGGGCTGGAGCTCCGTACCGGCTCCCTGCCAAGCAAGCTATTGCCCGCCTTCCCCCCAAAAGTTTCCCCCCCCCCCCCCCTGACTGCTATTGGGTTGGATCTTCAGACTTTAGCTTTTGGGGAAATCAAAGGGTTTTCTACTACACCCCCAAAACGTCCCCATGAGAAGTGGGGTAAAACAGGTGCCATTTTGGGGGGGGTCCTCCATACCGAGGGCTTGTTGATCTCCGGATGATCAAACACCCCCCTGAGAAACATAAGTCAAGACCCCCCCGCTAAGGAAAGGGCAACACCCACGCAAAAGAACGGGGCACTGCATTTGTCCGGATGTGCGTTTTGGGGCAAACTGATCCTCCCCCAAGATACGGATGATGGGGGTTCATTCTTCAGAAAGCCTGATTCCGGCTTAGAGTGCGTGCTCATTTGATTGCAGCTGTGAAATGAGTTGGCCCCTGTTTATGTTTCTTTCGCTTGCAACTTTACCCATGGGTTGGAGAGGTATTGTGTTTCCCCGACAAAACGCTTGAATCCTTTCCTTTAGCGCTTATGCACCTCTAATTGGCTAGTCAGAGGCTACGCTTTGCTTGCTTTCTCTTAGTTGGAATTGAATCGAATCAGCCAGATTTAACCTTTCGATTTAGGCAGCAATGTTCTGTCAAGGTTCCAAAAGGTCCTATGGCGCGGAAGACAGTTCTGGGTGGACCATTCTTTGACTTTTTGAGGGTGACGCCGCAGGCCTTTGGTCACACCGAAGGTGTTTCATGAAAATTTGGCCCTTCTGTGGACAATGTGTCAGCACACAAGCACACACACACACAAGCACACACACACACACAGACACACCAACACACACAGACACACCAACACACATCTACAACTGGCATGCTTGGGGACATGCCAGGAACGTTGCGACATGATGCAACTTACTATGGTACATGTGCCGTGTGCTTGTTATGGTCAAAGGAAGTTTAGAAGGAACTTCCGTGGTACGGCTACTAATTGAAAACTAGCTCTCTGAGAGAAGACAAGAGGAGAACAGGCAGACGTGCAAAACATGCTTGTGCGTGTGGCGTGGAATAGAAATGTCTAAAACGTGCAACCCTCTGCAGGTTCGGGATGGTCGAAAGTTGGCCTGATCGCGGCTCCTGGTCGGAGCACGATCGGAGCGATCTCAGAGCACGTTCGGAGCTGGGCCCATTGGCACGGACACGCAAGCCTTTCGCGACAGTAGTTTGCACGCCTTCGGTAAGGTGAGGCGGTGAGGCATAGATTTTGTGGCAGGCGCGCAAGGTGAGGTGCAGGCTTCGTGGCGCGCAGCCACAGCACTTTCTGCAGGCGCAGCACTTTCGCAAGGCCAGGTGCAGGTTTCGTGGCACTTTGGCAAGGTCATCTGAAGATTTCGTTGCAGGCGTGCAGATCTGGTCGCACGCGTGCCACTTTCACAAGGTCGGGTGAAGAATTCGTGTTGGGCACAGCGCTTTCGCAGGGTCCGGTACAGATTCATGGCGCATTTCTGCTATGGAAGGTATAAGGTGAAATAGACAGACAGATTCATAGATAGATGGAGATAGATAGATAGCGAGAGAGAGACATAGATAGATAGGCAGAAGGATAGACAGACAGATGGGTTGTGAGAGAGAGAAATACATAGACAGATAGACAAATACATACATAGATAGGTAGATAGAGTTGGCAGAGTAGACAGAAAGAAAGAAAGCAAGACACAAAGCAAGAGGGAGAAGCGGATGAATAAGAACATGATGGACAGTTAGGTGGGTAGAGAGGTAGAGAGATGATAGAGAGACAGATGGGTAGGTAGACAGGTAGATAGATAACAGATAGACACCCACATAGCGAGAGATGGTGTTTAGAGGGCTAGGTGGGTAGAGAGATCAGATAGATGGATACTTGTTAGAAGGATAGATAGGGAGAGACTTAAATAGGTAGATGCAAAGATGGACAGACAGAGTCTAGCGAGCTGCCTTGCTAGATAGATAGGTTTAAATAGAGAGAAACTGAGAGAGGTCAAAAGTGAGATTCAGTGGTAGGAATAAAAACAAACATGGACATAAGGGCTAGATGCGCGCCCGGATAGGCAGGAGAGAGGCTGAAAAATGGAAAATGGGCAGTCGCGCGCCCAAGCGCGCCTCCCCGCCCGTGCAAAGCAGGAAGGAAAGAAAGAAAGAAAGAAAGACAGAAACACAGAGAGAGAGAGAGAGGGGGAGAGGGAGCGAGAGAGAGCGAGAGGGAGGGAGGGAGGGTGAGAGGGAGGGAGAAGGAAAGACGGAAAGACAAGGAAAGAAGAAGGGAAATAAGGAAAACCGTGAAGAAATGAAGAAAGGAAGGAAAGGAAAGGAAGGAAGGAAGGAAAGAAGGAAGGAAGGCAGATGACAAAGAAAAGAGACGGAAGCAAAGAAAGAAGAAAGCAAGAAAGGCATAAATAATGAAAGGAAATCATAAAGAATATGCATAAAGACGAAACACAAGCCGCAAGAAGGGAAAATAAAGAAAACACAAATATCAACATAGCTATGTCGGCCCTCCAGCTTCGTCGGCTCCTCTGGTATAGCGTGTGAGTCAGCTCCATGGCTGTTTCAGATCGCACTGCTTTTGGTGTGTCAGATCGCATGTTTGGATGTTTGGACTTTGGAAAACGTACTGTCTGAACCTCCCGCAAGCAGTACATCATGGCTCTTTGATAGCTTTCCCATGCTTTATTTGCATGGTAGTTGTGTTGCCCGACTTCGAATCTGTCGAGGTTTCTGGCGAGATCTTTGAGTTGCCCACTGGATTCCAGGCTGGGAGGGTGGTATTTTCCAGGTCATGCGGGTTTAACCAGCACCTCATCCCCTTCACACCAAAACAATCGAAGATTCTATTGTTCAAAGGAGATTTGCATGTCCAGATGTTGACAGAAGAGCGATTTGGAAAGGCGTCCATTCGTGTTTTGCCCTCAGCCCGAAGCAGCCCGGCTGTCAACCCTGCAACGCGAGGCATCCTCTGTGCAAAGCACGCCTGGCTATCCGGTGGATCGCGTAAATGCGACTTGGAGGCAATCCAAATTCGGGTCAATTGAACGGAACAGTCTCCTTGCCACACGCAAAACAACGGCGTTTCTTTTTGGTAGAGTCAGTCCTTTAGTTCTTGGTTTTGTTGATGACTCCGAGGGGCCCACGCGGATGACTCAGCATTGCTGTATTCGGAAAGATTCGCCAGCTGTTCTTGCCCAGCGTGGATCTAGCTGGAAGTGCTGCAAGCGTGTTCTGCTTGATTGAGTTTCAGTGAGAGTTTGCTAGGGGGGATCTCGGGGATCCATGAACTCATTAACTTCGGCTTTGTGTCAGGGAGCCGAGGTTTCCCTTTGGGTCCCCCTTCCAGCCCATCCAGAAACTCTCACGGCCTTCCCCATGCCTTTGGTGAGAAGTCTCAGGCGAAGGAGGTTGACATTGAGATGCCATCACCTCGGAATCCATTTGAACATCCCGGGCCTGGGCCTCAGGGCCGCAGGGCCTCAGGGCCTCAGGGCCGCGCCGCGAGAGTTCGAGGATCTCGATTCGGTACCCCGGTCCCCGGTTTTGTTCGTCTCCATTTTGAAGACGACGGCCGAGCCCGACAAAAGGCATGTTGCCTCCCCCATGTTGGACAGCCCGCAGGTGTCCCAAGGTATGAGGTGTGCATTTCTCGATAGGTTTCAAGCTTGATATTCTCGCGTCTCAAATTAAACGTCTTGAGATCTGAATAGTGTTCAATAAGGGTTTCAACGCTGTTTGAGTTCAAACGACAGGCAGCGATCCAATTCAGGGTTCAAACAGGATTCGAGTCAAATGGTGACCTCACAAGTGGAAACTTTTCCCGCAAAGGTTCCTTTCCTAGAGATCCAAACTGCTCTTTTGTAAAGGCGCGTTATTCTACCTGGCCCCAATGCTTCAGCAGCGGTCCAGTGGGCACAGCTCGCAGCAGACTTTGGTTCCATACGCTGAATCAGTGTCAAAGTCAACACGATTTGGGTGTGTCTTTTTGTGCGGGTACCATTTTCGCGTGGCTTCAAAGGGAGCCCAAAGGGACCCAACTAAATTCAATTTTGGGGCGGGTCCCCTAAAAACAGGCACCCCTATTTAGAAGACTCCAGCAGGCCACCCGAAAGTCCCCGCAGATCCCCAGGCTGCCGACGCACTGTCGTTGGACGCTTCCGGCGCGACATGCCGCACCCGACCGCACGGCCGGTGCGCCGGGAGTGGGAGAAGTTGGCGAGCCGACACGTGAGCCACGTGCTCAAAACCGATTCGATGAAGGTTAGTAACGGACAATCCCAACCATAAATACCAGGCCCCCCAGTAGTGCCCTTTTACCTTTTTTTGGGGAGGGTTCCGGTGGTTCAGTGGCATCCTTCTTCCCTTTTTGGTGGCTTCCCCGCTACAAATGGTTTGTCACTGAACCACTGGGAAGTAGTTCACATTTTGGAAGAGCGCAATGGGTAAAATGCCCAGACCCACTATTTAACACCCAGCATAGTTTCTGAGAACAGTGCAGGGACTTTCCCCTGCTCCTCAATAAGACAACGGAAGCGAGGCAGGGGTTCCGTTCCCGTTTGTTTCTCCGCGAACACGAGATGAAAGAAACTTAGGGGCCTCTGAATCCCCTCGCCATGCGTTGACAGGGAAAAGAAAGGCAAACGTGAGTGGAAGGAATTCCTGACCTGTCTGACCCTGATCGGCAATGAGTTGTTGCGCGAGTGACAACCACTTTTGAGATCGTTCGAGAGCAGGGTATCAGGGAACAGGGAACGGTTCAGGTAACCTCAGGTACACACGAGCCGGTTTGCCCGTAGAACCTCAAAGGGCCTAGAGATTCCCTCCCCGAATTCTGATGACACCCCTCCTTTTCGGGCGTCCAAAAGGTGATTCCTCTAAGACGACTTGTTCGTCTTGGGCGTCTATTCAGCCCTGGCTATCAAAACTGCCAGGGCTGGCGGTTTTTCCACCGGAGCGCAGGGCGCCCAGAGTTGAACTGTTGACACCTTTGATTTGGTTAGAGGTCTGACTCTCTACCATTGGACCATCACTCGCAGGGTGCAAATAGTAACATCATATTTAAAATGGCAAACACCAGGAGTCCCATCGTCGAATCCTGGAAAGCCCTTCCAAGGCTCTTCCTCTTGCCGTCTCGACGGCGATGGGCCATGTTCAGGTGCCGCCATTTAGGGTGAAAAAGGCAACCCTGCCATGTTTTTGCTGAGGCCAGCGAGCTGACTTGAGCCGCATCCTGCATATTGTATACGACATGTTTTTCTCCGCAACTCGGATCCTTGCTTGCCTCCCTCAGCGGTTGCTTTATTTCCCCGACGCCAGCGCAAGATGCAGCCATTGCAAGGGGTTTGCCAAAAAGGGCATTTTGCTCTATTTGTGTTTCACTCCAATTTTCGCCGTGTTGTGTCCAAAGGCTGAATGTATGATGCCACAGTTGAAATAGTACGAGCCGCTTTAAGGAACCCAGTTCTGGCTCCAGCGGCAAACTTCGCCGCTTGGTTCAAATCAGCCCTGTCTTTAAGGGTACCCTTTTCGGGCGGTTGAAATTGGACACCACACAGGGCCCTTGTTCGGCCTTGGCTCGAGCCCCGATCGCCGCTTGACCGCTTGAGGCGACCAGGTGAAGTCCAGGTGGCACACCATCATTGGTGGCGGCCTGAGATGCTTTCCCCGGTTGACATGTTTGTTTTTGTGTTTGCATTGTTTTTAAGTTTAAGATGTGGGCAAATCAACGCGGTCTCACAAAGGGTGTTGGTTTCTTAGAGGTCCACGTATTCCGTATTTCAGCCTGGAGAATCACTCTATTTCACCCAGTGTACACGATGTCGCAGTTGTTTCTGGCAGTGTTTGTTCTCGTTGAATGGACGTGGACACTGGTATTGTTGGCTGGCAGAGGCCGATGCTCGTGCTTTTTGTTGGTATGGTAATAGGGGATGTGGTGGCAAAACATGCTCAGTGCTTGTGTATGTTTCAGACGACAGAATAAGGATGTTGAAGCAAAGATTGGTATGAAGTCTGTTGGGGGACACCTCTCAAGCGGTTGGCGGACCTGAATCCGCAGCTAAGTGGTAAATAAACATGATTCCCCACATGATGTCCAAGGAATCCCTGAGATTCACAGCCACATAGATTTTGACCTGTGGACACGTGTGGTTGCACATCTGGCTTTTGCATAGCGCCAAAGGGGACCTTTGCGAGGACGAGTTCTGAAGGCGCAGGGGACCAGGATGTGTGGCGAAAGCTTTGGTGCAAATTCAGTGTTTTGTTTAAGCAATTACACGGGTACGGCTGCAAAAAAATAACAAGGATCATGATTCTGATGCAAATTGCCCGTTTTCCCCAGTTTTTGCGGACTTTGTACTTCTCAGAAAGATGAGTTTGTTGAAGATCACTTCAACAGAAAACCAAATCCGAAAAGTCTGAACTTGCGTTCTGGCCAATCCACTCCGGGAGTGAGAAGGGGTCCAAGACGCATGGAAGCTGATGGGATGCTTTTGGTAGACGGCTATGTCAGCAGGTGGGAGTAATTACCTGACCTTTCGTGGCTCCATAAAGTCCTTTCAAGCTGAGGTTCTGTGCAGATGGGGTAGTCGTGTAGCTTCCTGGCCGTGTCACATGGGTGAACTTCATGTCAAGCGTTCTGGAGGAAAGCCGTAGGTGTGATATGGGTGTGTTTTTTTGAGGTAGCTGTCTGGGTCCGTTTTTTTTTTTCCCCGGTGGGTGAAGTTGAGGTACCATTTTGAGACATCATGGCACCTCCCGATTGAATCCACGTATTCGACCTTCCTAACAGGAAGTCATGTGACACGAAGCCTGGGTAGGGGGCCCGTAGCGTGAGCCGGGGCACGCGGGTTTGTTTCAAGCCGCCCGCCCTGTGATGTGGTGCAGCCGATTCGTCATGTTGACTCTGAAAGCCCCAGATGATGTGTACCACCGAAAAGAAATGATCAGCCGGTGTGTCGATGGTTTTCTCAAGGGTTTCAAGCACATTAATGGTGTAGATATATTATACGTCACCAGTAGTTGTTGTGAAGTGTCTATATGTAGGTGTACAATATGTGTATATATATATATATGCGAATGTAGTTACATATGTGCTTGAAGTTAGGACGGTTCATATTTGGGGGCCATGCTGCCTGAACAGAAGCCACACGCAACACCTGGGAGGCGCAAGTGGGGTGGGTGGGTCGGCGCAAGCAACCCCGCACGGCTGTGCACACAGCCAAGCAGGCTGCGCATTCTGCCGCGGCGGTTCCTCTTGAGTTAATATGGCTGTGGGTCAACACCCATGGTACCATTTTGGGGTAGGTACACCACCCATTTTAGTCTATTTTGGTGGGGATTGGAATGTTCACTGGGGGTGCGGGCTTTTGACCCATGGCCACATGTGCCATGGCTTACTGAGGGTTACCAATCAGGAGCGGCCTTAGACAGTTCAACGGGGATTGCGAACAACCATTATGAGAGGTTTTGGTGATTAAGGCATCCAGACCCCCGCTGCGGGGGGAATGTTGACCCTGGCACATGCGAACGGACATCCAACTTATGTAAGCGATGACAGCTTCTTTGTCTTCTCCACTAGTCAATGGGCACCGCAACCTGAATGAACCAGCGCCACCGCGCTGTGTCGAGGTAAATGTAGGTCCATCACGCGTCTCGCAAAGTCGACATGCAAGAAAAGGCCGAGGGGCTGCAATGTGCTTGAATTGGAGTCAGCGGACAGTCGGGGAGACAGTTGTTTGCAGGGTGGCTGAAAAGAGTCAGCATGTTGGAATTCAAGGCTTCTGATCTCGTGCTTCCACAACGTAGACGTGGATGTCAGCCGACCTGAAGGAATGGCGGCTTGGATTGGTTGTGACAGGGTGCGGGTAGCTTGGTCAGTCAGTTCATGCCACGCAAAAGGCAAGTAGCAAGACCCGCATGCATGCCTTGCGAGTTGCAGCCAGAAGCGCGGTTCGCCAATGCACCACTTCCGGATGTTCTCCACGACACTCATGAATGCATTAACAACGCCGTTTCCGCTGAGTTTGCTCTAAAGAGGTGCAACAGAGGACACAGCCACAAGTCTTCCACCAGTGGCCCACCAGCGAATGCAGCTTACCGAGGCAGCGTTTAAGGATTCGAATGATGTTTTGCCACAAGCAAGCAAGCAGAGCTCGGAGTTGAGGTGGAACCAAGCACAAGCCAATTGCCATTGGAGGCCTTCAGCTGCTGCCGAGCGACAGTTTCAGAGCAGATGGATTAGAAGATGGCAACTGAGTTTCTGGAGCTCCCGCCACGCTTGGCACTGTTTGGCCCCATGGGTGTTGTTGCCAATTAGAGACTGACTTAGAGACCCACATAGGTGCCTGTCTTCTGTAAGGGTATATTTTCCAGGTTGGGTTAAACACACCAAAAGGAATGTCACTGCTTTGGGATTCTTATATGGATGTATCGTCGGCGTGAATGGAATTTCCATTTCAATGTGACAGAAAGGGCCATTTTCCACAACCACGTCAAAGGAGGCTCCCCTTCTGAGTTTAAAGGGAAATCAAACGCAACCCCCTGTTGTGGCTTTCCCACCACGCCCATAGGTCCCTATCCTTGCAATGGGAAGGCCTGATTAGTTCCCAAGTTGCGAACCAGGGATTCATTTTCAGTAGGCATTCCTTTCTTCAAAGAGAAGCCCATGATGAAAAGCTGGCCTGTTTCGAAGTTGATGTCTGTTGCAACCAAGGTGAACATACCCTCAACGCAACACGCACCCACCTCCTCTTGCGACTTGCCATTGGCCAGGCTCCGTCCTCCATCGGAGTTCAGGGCAGGGACGAGGCACTGTCCTTTCTGCAACCCCCCCCCCATTTTGCGTCTAGGACCCACTGAGAATTTTATCCAGGTTCTTTTTCTTTTGCCAATCCGCTCGGGAAGGGACATAGGTGACACATGGCCATGGGTCATAACCTATGCCTCCATTTTGGGGCGGATGAACACCCATGTACCACCCATTTTATGTTCACTAGGGGTTTCCTGGGTTTCATGCCAACTCGCTCTGAGCGCCCTCAGCAAGTTGCGGCACTGGGCAGGCCGTGCACCCGGTGCAAGCGAATCTGCGCCATGAAGCCTTCCACGCCCTCTGCCCCTTGCCGATTCGAAGAGTGGTGGTGTTTTGACCGGGAACCGAAATGTGGTTGCCTCTTGGTTGCCCTAACCCACACCAAAGGTTTCCTCGACAAAGTGAGTGCGCAAACAGACGTATTTGTCCATTGTTCCTATTTTTGGAACTATAATGCGCGACATAAATCAGAAATCGCTGTGTTAAATGTGGTTCATTGTGGACTTCCCTTGGAAGCCCGATCCTGGGTTTTGGGCCCGGGGAGGTTTTGGGGAGGTGAGAGACGTTCTATTTAGGTTCCAGGGAGGTTACGCAGACTGATTTGGCTGATGCTGTCGTGGATGCTCCTTGAGGCTTTTTACCTTGGCCAGACCTTCTATGTATTTGCTGCCCATTGCAGCAGAGGCATATCATCCAGGTGTGCCGCAGTCCCAAACTTTTTGTTGGTGAATAACCGCCTTCCCACGACTTGAGGTCCAACTCAGGGAATCCATCCGGCAAGAAATATAAGGAATCCATTCTCCAAGTGAGCCACAATCAAAACCCGGGTAAGTGAAGGTTAGTAAGGGACGATCCCAGCCATAAATAGCTGCGGCCGCCTTCTTGGTTCTTTACATAGTTCTGGGTCGACCATTTTTGTGCCGGGTTTTGATTGTGGCTCAAGTGTTTCAACATTTTTGCAGGGTCATGTTGAGAGCCGGCAAGCCTCTCGCCCCACCGAGGCCGGCTGCGGCGGGAGGATGGGCAAGACAGCGAGGTGCGGCGACATGTGCCGCGTTCACCGAATTGACAGCCGAGAAGCCCGGTGTGTATGGCAGGGTTCTTTGTTCGCGAGCACAGCTTCGCGATCTGGTGACCAAAGCTTCACAGAGCCTTCGTGAGTTGCAAAGAGCTTCCTACACGCAACTAGTCAATTGGCATGGATACTTGGCGGGCGCGGCGCGCAGGGTGATGAGTTTGTGAGTGGACGAGTTGGCTAGTTGATGTTTGTCATTTGCTTTGGTTTCGTCGGGGAATAGTCCTTTGGCTTCACCAACTTATGAGGGTAAAGTTGTTTGTGGGCTCGTGATTGCCAAATTGTTTGATTATCAATACTACTACTGCTCGTTGGTTCCTGTATTTCTGCTAGTATCGGGCCACTCCGCTGTTTTAGTGATTTCCCCAGCAAGCAGCAAGATCTGTGCGGTCTGGCCAGTCGATCCTTGGCAAAGGCTTCCCGAAACAGGGTTCCACACTACACTGGACCTGTTCGCATCAACCTATTGAAACAAAATGGCCAGCCCTACATTTTCCAACCACGAAGGAGCAAACATCTAGGGGTAACTTCCCCTTTCTTTCCAGGGATCCTTCTTTCAAGAGAACCACCCAAAACCATAGGGAAATGGCGATCGGTTTTTGAAAAGAACGATGGCTGAAAAAAAAGACATGGAAAAGGAATCAACCCCTGGAGCTTTGGAATGTTCAAACAGAAGCGAGACTTGCTGGGCTTGGCAACGTTCTTTTCGAGAAAGTTCGACTTTGATCAACTTATGCGCTCATGCGGCACTTGCGACCGAGCGACCTCGTGGCAGATCCTGGAGAGGGCCCTGATCCTGCAGCTCGGTCTAAGGGGCCAAAGTCGGACGTGATGCTACACTTCCATTCTTGACTGCTATTGGGTTGGATCTTTAGACTTTAACTTTTTGGTTGAAATAAAGGTGTTTTCCACTCAACACCCAAAGAATTAAACTTTTTGCAGGGAGCTCAACAGCAACAAAGCATTGTGCGTTTCCTTTGTCCATTTCACTGGGTGTTGCTAACAGCTGCAAAGAGAATCATTGGTTCCACCCTTTCTCTTTGTTCCCTGCCCTTGAATTGAGGTCTCGTCCGACAATGCTGAGACTGGAGAAGTGTGCCTTATCTTGGAGCAAGGCCCCTCTTTTTAAGATTACCATCCAACAAGATCCAAAAAGGACGCGTCATTTGGACCATGGCACATGGGGGGGAATCAACATGGCAACGCCTTTTGGCCCTGGCCCACAAAGAATATGTCGGACAGCAACCACACATCAAGGCCAGGAGATTGACGACCCCAAAATCTCAGAAACTGCTGGAGAGGAGCCCGCCGAGCGATGAACTGAAACGAGGCTGGGGGGAATCAACATGGCAACGCCTTTTGGCCCTGGCCCACAAAGAATATGTCGGACAGCAACCACACATCAAGGCCAGGAGATTGACGACCCCAAAATCTCAGAAACTGCTGGAGAGGAGCCCGCCGAGCGATGAACTGAAACGAGGCTGGATACCTACTCCGTGGTTTCGAAGGCGCTTGGCAACAGCAGCCTGGTCAAGGCGGACGGGCGGACGGGCGGACGGGCGGACGTGGGCCTGAAGGGCTCCACTGCGTACCTGTGGGGCAGTCGGAGCACCTGTCGCGGACATACCCATGTAGTGATGTCCACCAAGGCATCGCGGGTTAAAGCTTATACAAATTCAACATTATATCCAATGTATGTAATGTATGTAATGTATGTAATGTATGTAATGTATGTAATGTATGT